TCTCTTGAATGGTAGCGTTCGAAATATTTCCAGAGCAGTATATTTTCATAGATGTTTTTAGCTTCCCGTCCTTTCTCCAGAAAAACACACTATTGTCATACAGTGAAATCCCAATGTAGAAAATCGATATAATTTGTGCATGGTGAGTCATAAAGATGAAGCATGCTCGTCTCCCTTGTGTATGTAGTCTGAAAAAAAATAACGATTACAATAATCTAAAGAAAAGGAAGAAAAAAACAATAGTGGAGCCATATTCAACCTTGCCATACGGATTTATCTTTATACTTCTTTTTTTTATTTCGCTCTCGCTGTATTTGTCGATTTTTGGCGTATTACGAGACGTTTTCTCTTTATTTCTTTGCTGTTTTTTATTTCCGGACTCTTTTCATGTGATGCAATAGTAGCTGTCATCCTTCTTACTCATCATTCAGAAATGGCATACACTTTCCATATAGAGTTTCGTGGGATTACAGTCATGGGTCTTCCTATAGGAATTGATCAACTCATTCTACATATATAAAGGCATATCGGTCGATTGAGTATCAATCGAAACATTTCCCACATTTTCCATCATTGCTCATTAGTAATATATATTCACATATGGCTTTTGATGGCATTTCGCACATATTACAATTTGATTGATGTCGGTGGAACTACGACAACGAAAACAGCAGGTTCAGGATCAGTGGTGTGTACAGTGTAGCTTGTACGTACCCAGCGTGGTGTGAATGTACAAGCAACTGGTGCGGTTGTAATCCTCGGAGTAGTGGCAACCATTATAACAACCCATTTACCAACTGCTATTGCTGGGATTGCATCACGATATGCCGCTGATACAACCTTTATCGTTATCTTGGAATACGGAGCGGCTGTAGTAGCGTTGCTGGCACTGAAGTAGCAATGGTATCATCTATTTTCTTCTATCACCGACATCACTTATAGGCATCATATATTGTACTATTGCATTTATGATACTTGCAAAACAATGACAACATTTTTCGGATTTCCTATGTTCTCCTGTTTGCATGTTTTTGTTCTATAATACACATCGAATATTCTACGATTCTATGGGAATGTTTATTTTTATTGGAATTTTATTTTGTTATTGTTCGATTGATTCTGTTGCGTGTTCTAACATCTAACATGCCTAACATTCTTAAAGATTGCATGAAAGCTGAATTGAATAAAATAGTTTAAGAATCAACCACACCCACAACTGCAATAAGAGGTGTGGGTGCCACTGAAAGGAGGATTCATACCCACACCCTTCTTGAAGTAATACAAAATCATATTATTCATCCACATCCAACGTATAGTTATATTCCTAATTATCAATATGAATGCAGTAATGTATCTTCACATGTCTGTCATAGCCATGAGAATATTTGCTGCTCTCGTTTCGAGATGTGTTGATTGTCAAATGTATTCTTTTACTAATAAAATATAAATTAACTATATTCTCTTTGCTATTCGATGTCAACTAAAATTTTCTCAAAGCGAAAACTCGAGTGTGACATCGATCTTTAAATATTTTGCATCGAAGATATTTAAACATTGAGTTGGTAGAAGTTTTATGATAAATCTATTGAGATACCCTTTCGAATTAATAAACTGTCTCCATTGGATTTTTTTCAATCGAATTCAATAATAATAATATTTGTATATTGCAAAAGCATGCCATTAAGGCAACATAAAACGTGTGAACTGATCAAGTTACAATTTTGGCGATCGACATTTCTTAGAACACAACTATAGTCTGCGAGAAATTTTTCACTTTTCGTTTTTAATATTAGTATAATGAGGCTAAAGAACACATTTCAGTTTTGCATTTCAGCCGTCTTTTAGAAGTGTACGACTTTGAAGGTGATGAAGCCGAGTTCTTCACAAGACAAACCGTAGAAGAATTTGATAGACTATTAAGTTCAGTACTGGACAACAACAAAATATCATCATGAGAAACAGATTATATAAAACTGATGAATTTATCTTTTACTTTAAACTTTTATCGCGTTCACTTAAGTGTATACTGATCGAAAAAAATATCTGAGTGCTAGTTGATACCACTTTTTGAAGGGTGTTTGAAACTTTTTTTTTATCTCCCAAGGAGTCAAAAAACTCTGCTTTCGAGTTGAAAACTTAATTTACATATTGGCAGGACATAAAGATCTCGCTCTACATTGTGCTCATCGCTGATGTCCATCAAATTCCTGCAGTTGGGTCGAGTACTCCTCAGTACCCAATTCGACCTGGATTTTACGCTCGAGTAAATGAAAAAAAAAATAGCAAAATCGGATTCGGATATGCAAGTATGCAGCCGTGCAAGAACTAATATATCTAAAGAGAAATTCGTTCACCCTCATAATCTTCGATACAATTTTATGAGTTATTATTTAAAATCAAATTTAATGTAACCGTAGGAACTAGTAAAACTTTTTGATTTTAAACATATTTGTCTTACTTTTGATCTGTTTATGTTGCTGTTCTTTCCATAAACTTACTTCAAATACCTAATCAATGATAGATTACTTCGTTTGTTTTATTTTTCTGAATAGAATGTTAGTGCAGTATTAGAACTTTGTCATGTAATATCTAATCAGCTCGTGTGTGGAATGAAATATTAGTATTAAATTATATAGAAATGTATTTTAATTAAATTGATTAGCATGTCTAATTATAACGAAAGATCTAAGTTAGACTTAAAAAGAACTGTTTGATAAAAGTAAATTTTGACTTTACTCCACCATGAAAGACTACATCCTTCTAAATTAAATGTCTTTAACGATTGATTATGTCTTATTAAATTAATAATTGAATGAGTACATGAATCATTAATTCCTGAATTTCCTGCAAGACATAACCATTGAAGAGTTGAATTATAATTAACAAGTACATCAGCTAACACATCCATTCCTTCATTAGTAATTCGATTGTAAGATAATGTTAATTTAATTAAAGTTTGATTTGTTCTTAACATATCAGCTAATAATCGAACACCTGTATCAGTAATAGAATTATTATTAAGATCAAGTCGTTGAAGACATGAATTTGTTGCAAGAGCATGAGCAAGATATTGAATACCTGAATCACATATAAGATTATTTCGAAGTCCTAATGTTTCTAATAATGTATCATTATGTAATACTGAAGCAATTATTGAAGCACCTTTTGATGTAATTCCTTTATTGAATAAATCAAGATATGTACGTCGTTTATTAATAAGTAAAGCTTTTACTGCAATAGCTATATCTTGATTTTGAAATTGTCGTTGTTGTAAATTGATGGTTGAGAATGGGAGAAATTCACCTTGGCTTTCTTCTACAATACAATATTTATCACATGTATTTTCAAAGTTTTCCTGAATTTGATTATCTGATGGCAATAGTTCAGATGAAACTGGAGCTAAATGAGTTTGAAGTTCTTCACGTAATCCAATCCAAGGACAATTTATTTCTTTAGCTGGACAAGTAACAATCGCTTTCTGACATATATTATTAATATGATTTTGAATATTGCTTCGTTCTATATTACTTTGATCACATAATTTACATTTAACTTGAATTTGATCAAGTGCTGTAAGAATAGACAGATCAGTAATTGGTATTATATGTTTCTGTAAATGTAATTCGTTACACGAGGAACATCGTAAGGAATCATCATCCAATGATTGTTCTATGCATTGTCGACAAAATATTTGTTGACATGGAGTTATTACAGGGTCAATATATGGTTTATTACATATTTGACATATTAATAACTTATCGATTGATTCTTCATTAATATATTCATAGCAATTATCGATTTCAGTTGCCATATATACAATATTTGCATAGATTTATGTCTTTTACGAGTAATAAAAAGTATAATTTATTTGTCTATGTTGTTTTAGTCGTTCTTACCAACAATGTTGTATAAATATACGAGATAAGAAAATCTGTACGAAGGAGTGCAATGAAATCGAAGAATAATTGCTTATCTTTTCAGCTAAAAGTAAATGAGAGTCGAATTTTTTATCATCTTTTTCTTTGTTTTCAAAATAAAAGTATGAGTGTATAGAAAAATAATTTTTTTTTTATTGAAAGTTTTCAATAAATATTATATGTTATTATTAGGAGATTGAGACAATTCTGCCGATTGTTCGAGGTTTTATTATTATAATCTATCGTAACTCATCAGTTTTTTTATTCAACAATAATAATAATAATATTGTTTAGATGAATCTCATAAATCGACTTTTGACATGAATAAGATGATGAATTAGAATAGATTTTAAAATTAAAATTAAATCTTAAACTTTATTTAGAATTATCTAGATCATTTGATGATGATACAAATTATGTGGTGAATTTTCTATGCATTCTTACTTACATTTTGAAGTTTTAGAAAAAAAAAAAACACTTAAAACAAATCGAACTTAATTATCTTTCTTTATCATGACCTGACAATTTGCTCTTTGTTCGCTGTTGATAATTTACTCTCTGACAAGTGCCTTGACGATAAATTTTTTTTTTCTTTTCAAATGTGTCTCTCTGATAAGTATGAAATTGAAATTCACAATTACATGCCGATGAACAGGTTTTAATAGTTCGCATCGATAGGCACAGTATATTATTCACAGTTGACGTAATCAATATACAAAAGAATATGCTCGATAGTACTGTATAAGGGCGAGCTCTATAACTCGCAGCTGACGTTATTCAAAATGAATAAAACTATATTAAACATCATTTTTCGATTGGCACCAGCTTATACGGCATTTATGTGTATGACGAACTAGACTCTTATTTTCAAATTATCATCACTGAGCAAGAAAAAAACGATAAAGAATGTCATCAATATCTACTGTTGTCTCTTTTGATAAATTACCAATTGAACTAATTCATACAATTTTCAATTATCTTGAAACTCATGATATATTCATTTCCTTTTATAATATCAATACATATATCAATACGATATTGGATACTTATCAGAGATATCACTTAAATTTTGAATCAGTACGTATGTCACATTTTTATATAACTCTCCATCATATTAATCCTTCTCAAGTTATTTCGTTAACACTTTCAAATATGGATGATACACCAGGTCAATTTCAATTATTTTTTTCATTATTTTCTATTAAACAATTTATTCGACTTGAATCACTTCAACTAATTCAACCGTTAAATCCAACCAATTTAAATAGAATTTTAATTGATATACTTACACTTGAATCTCTTAAATCACTTTCAATTATTCATTGTCAACCGTCAAGTGTTAATCAAGAAACATTTTTACTTTTCTCTTCATTGATTAATACTTCTGCATCTCTTCGTCGATTATATCTATCGGGTGCATTAAACACAATATTCCACTCTAAAATAACTTCATCAGTAACTCATCTTTGTTTTAATAATAATATATTTAACTCAGTAACATTAGAAAATATTGTTTCACGAATGCCTTATTTAAAATCCCTTAATACAGCCATAACATTAAATATGAATTATACTTATTTATCATCACCTATTCATCTAACTCGATTAACAATGACTATTTTTATTAATATAAATAATTCCGATTTAATAATTTTATTAAATAAAATGCCATCACTTGTATTTTTTAACATAACAGCTAGTGGAAAACAATGGTTTAATGGAAATTTTTGGGAACAACATCTACCATTAACTCTTCGAACATTTCAATTTAATTTTTGTACTCAATCTATACATATCAATACACAAATAATTTTAGAAACATTTCAAACACCATTTTGGCTTAAAATAAAACATTGGTATGTTATGTTAGATTGTCAAATGAATCAAACTATGACACATCTTTATTCATTGCCTTATTGTGATACACAATTTTACTATCGACCATCAATGAATCCTACTCGTAAATTTCGTTCATCAGCACCCATTGTTAAACCATATATGAATAATGTAAAGAAACTTACAATAGATTTTTCAACATTGATCACTGAAGTAAAAATAATATTCATTAAAAATAAAAACTATTCTTTTTCTTTTAATTATTTTTAGTCTAGTTCATCATTAGCATCTACTCATTTCTTCTCGAATATTTCCACATTAATTTTAGTTGATCATGGATGTTATTCATCAATTCAATTATTACTTAATTTTCTAGAGTGTATTATTGATTTTACTCAAATCGTTGAATTAAAATTAGGACAATTTCATCATCCAGATTTTATACGTATTTTATATAATCGTTTACCACGATTATATTCTCTTCGAATATCTGAAACTCTATATAGTAAATTACAAATGCTTGATTTTCGTAATATACGTTCTTTAAACATCTGTGATTGTCTAACAAATATCGGTGGAATGGTTTGCATGTTTCCTTCTATTGAATATCTTTGTGTACGATCAACGACATTTGAACATATGCGACAAATGATTGAATTATTAGGAAAAACATTAATAAATGTAACATTTAGACATACAAATCAAAAGTTCCAAGAACAAATTATAAAATGGTTATATGAATATTATGATAAACATCGACAATTTTCTTATGACATAGATGAACATATGAATTTACATATTTGGCTAAGTGATTTAGTGGTATAATTAGTAGAAGTTTAGTGTTATATTAAAGGACTATCTATTCTTTTTATTCATTTATAATTTTTTCTTAAAATTTGTGTATGAATAAAACATATTTAAAAAAAGAATTTTTAGTTTACAATGGAATTGTGACAACAACAACACTCCAAGAAGGAACAGTAATTGAACATGTTCCATTTATTAAGAAAACAGAACTAGTAACAATAGATGCAGCATTTGGATTTGATAAAGTATTTTGTACAGTTGAAGGATCAATGCCTGAACCAGCTGATAGAGTATAAGCAATTCCATTAGAAGATATCAATGATTTCTTAATTTGTGTATTAACCAGAATATCTTTGGAATCGACATTAGCAAATTTAACAATGAGCGTATTGTTTTTAGTATCTTTGGTAGCTATAAAATAGAGTTTATCAAGTTTACCATCTCCTTCTTGACCTTTGTGAACATTGTATGATTTCTTATTATTGTTTTTGTAAGCCGTAGAATTGAGAATAATATTGCCAAGATGTTGTCCGAACATTTGTTGAGCAAGATATGATGTTGATTTGACAACCAAACTCGCATTGAAAAGAATAAAATTAGGTGTCCATTGTGTATTGTCAATATTTTGAAGAACTGGAGCATAACAACCACCAATAACAATATCAGAATTTCGTTCAAAACCAATACGATAAACTGATTCAGCAACTGCTGATTTTATTGAAGGATATTGAAGTCGTCCAAATTGAGAAGAATTCATAAATTCGAGATCATCATTATTCTCTACGGAAAATTCACCGATAAGTATTTTCGGACCTGATCGAGACAATTTTTCATAATGACGAAAATTCTCAATGAAATATAATGGACCTCGATAATGATGATCATCTGTAGCTGGCGGCGGAGGACGAATGAATTCAGTTGTTGTAGCAATAAAAGTAATATTAGGATAGCGTTTAGATAATGCATTATAGTAAGCAGACCAACGATAACTATATGTGATTAAACCAAGACCTAACCAATCTTCATTACCAATTTCGACGTATTTTATATTGAAAGGTTCTTGACGACCAAGACTAGCTCGAAGTGCACCCATTCTATTTTTATGAGCAGGAGCAGTTAAAAATTCAATTTCATTAATAACTTCATCAATATAAGGTTGAAGTTCATTTTTCGGTACAGATCTTTGATCAAGTGAATATCCAGCATAAACAGCTAAAATAGGTATTGCACCAATATCCTCAGCAAATGTTAATAATTCAATAAGACCAAAACCTTCTGTATTGTAACCTGTCCATGTACCTTTTCGACCGGGACGATGTTCGAGAGAACCAATCGTATTATTCCAAATAAAACGTTCAGAAATAGAACGACCTTCAAGATCGTTACCTCCAGGTAATCGAATAAATCCAGGTTTGAGTTCTGCAAAGGCATTGGCAATATCCATACGTGCACCATTCGTTCGATTTCTATATGTGGGAGGAAAGCATGAAATAAGATTAAATTCAAATTCACCAAAAGATCCTTGAGGAAATTCAATGAAAAAAATATTATTCGATGTAGGAGCAGCATCATGAACAATGATCGAACTGGAAAATTTACTCCAATTATCCACAAGAGCGCTAGATACATCGACAGTGCTCATACCGTATGTGATACGACCGGTTGAATCTCTAAGGCCAATAGTTAATTTGTTATTTGGTATAAATGCTTCTAATAATGGTTTGTAGAAGAAACTTGAATTGTAAGTTTGAACTTGAATATTGATTCCATAAAAACCAACATTCATCAAGCCCGAAGTAACGGTTGCCTTTGAGTTAAATGAGAATTTCAGATGGATTGGTAAAGCTTTAGACAAAGGTTGATCAGTTGAAAGACTGATCGATCCTTCACCATATGTTGACCAACCATCAAGAGATCGATGTTTCTCTAAAATGATCTCGATTATATAAGATAGTTTTATGTACAAATATGTACGAGAAGAAATAAACTAACCTTGAAAAGCACGATTATAGATAAGCTCAGCATATAAACCTCCATCATCACCTCGATTAATGTTCGTCTCAAGTATAACACCATGCATCGTCGATGGAATGATCTGACCAGTTATTGCATCTTCAATCTCGAGATAGACAGTAGCCGTTTGTTTGCCATTTGAAGCATCATAATTGACAGGTGTTTTTGCTAGCAAAGCAGACGTCAAATAAACTATCAACAGGAAAATCTAAATATCACTAATTCAGTTAGACTTATATCAATCAGAAAACATGTCATTAAACTTGCCTTCATGAAGAAAATTTTTGACAAATACAAACCAAAGCCAAACTGAAAAACTCAATAAAGTAATTAAGATACAAAAAGATATTTTCACGAACAAAACAAAAACATTTGTATATGTTGTTATTAAACAGTTACTCGCCATACTTCAATTTGATAAGACTTTCAGGTAAAGAAGATAAATAATGCATTTCATTATTTACTTCTCTCATATAAATAAATATAATTATTCTAAGAATATAAAATTAATTTTTTAATACATTGATTCATTTTTTAATTTTAGAATTGATTTCTAACCAAAGAACATTCTCAAGTATGACTTGTTAATTGAAATTGTGCATATATATAAGTAGGCACTGACGAGACTAGTAGAAACCCGTAGAAAGGTGTTTTATGGACTTTAGACTACCCTGAAAATTTTACTGTTCTCTGAGATAAACATGGTCTTTTTAGGCTGAAATTTCCTAATTTGATATTTTCACAAATACTTTTGCGAGAGATAAAAATTTCAGTAAAATTGTAATAACTTGGAAAGAACAACGCATAGAAACAAATCCTTATAGTCGTCTGCTACTAGTCTCGTCAGGATCTACTTATGGGCTAAATACCGATTTGATTAACGAATTACACTTGGGCATGTTCCCTCGTAAGTCAATATTCATCATTTCAAGATAGAGTATAATTTCTTTTTGTACGTAATAATTATTCAATCTGGGAGTTTTCTTTAAATCGGCATTCTAATGCAAATGTGTATTAAATAAGAAGACGATGAACATCTATGTGATACTCTAGTACTTGTGATATAAAAAAGATCTTTCCTTTTTTTTTTAATTTTTAACATTTTCTTGATCTTTATAGCTAACGAAATCCACAATCGAAGTCGTACAATGCAGTATTCATTTTTAATATCTGAACTATAAAACTGATGTTACAATAAAAATCTGTTGTTTGATTGCTCATAAATCTTAAAATGATCAATCAACAGTATTGTCCATAATTATGTATATTTGTGTATGAAGTCTATTTAGCTATAAGTTTGACTACAATTCATTTCTGCTGTTATTTAATTAGCTTAACAAGAAAAAGTAAAGTTTAATAAATAGGAACTTGAAAAAAATTACTTTTTTCACGCTGTTGTCATGGATTATATGAAATTATTTTCCCGATGCAAAAAGAAACCTCTTTTNAAATACACAGCTGTATCGATATGCATTGAGATGCTATTACGCGAAGGGTAATACCCTAAATCCACTCATATTTCTCAAGTTATATGATGGATATATTTTTGGTACGGTAATGAAGTCATTAGTTCTCGGTAGAATATGTGATGATAATGTCAATATACTTTCGTTGTTCATTCTTGTGGGTATCGTGACGGCTGGCTGTCGATACCCGTCGTATTGGTATTATGACATCTATGTGATAGGCTGTCATATAAATTTGCTTGGTAGTTAGACTAATGTATAACATCAAACTGTAACAAAAATATGTTCTTGTTCCTTGAAAACATATTTCAACACGTTTTTATTGAAAGAAAACGCGTTTCGTAACCATCAACCAAGAATTGTTTCAAATATTGAAGAATTAAAAAAGATTTAGTATTATTAGTATGAATGCATATGTGAACTACCTGATAATACTGTATACAGTACTATTAAATATGATTTTAGTTCGTACACTGTTAATGTAAGCGTGAATTTTAAATAAAATAGATTCAATTTACAAAAGAAGATTCTTCATTTAGTGATGTTATTGAATAAAAGGATGACGAATTTACATATAAAAAAATCTATTAAATAAAGAAAACAATTGAAAAAATTTATTTTAAATTTTTTAAATTTATATCTAACAGATTCAACTTGTTTAAATATTAAATGCAACTTAAATCAACTAAGATCGTTCCAATTGTATGTTTGAATTTAAATTTGAAAGAGTTTAAATAAAAGGTATGTTAAGAGGAGATCAAACTCATCATTTGGTATAGGCATCAGGGAAATGATAATTTTTAATTGATTTCAATGAGAAACTGAGAATTTAATTTAGTAAGCTTACACGAGACTATGAATAGCTGTAGAATAAACACTTATATCATTAGATTATTTTAGTTGAACGGTTTTTACACATGTCTTCTACTCTTATGTTCTAGTGTTCGAATCCATATGTTGATTTTATTAAAATTCATCTAAATTATAGCTCCAAAGATCTATGAAAAAATGTAAACGAATACATAAATTGTGTCTGAAACTCAAATTGCATGAAATACTTGACGGTTTTCATTTTTGTCCATCTAGGATATATGACACCGCAGTTAGAGATACGCTACGAAACTTTTTTAGAAAAATGATCATTCCACAGCGTTTGTGTTAGCAGATGTGAAACGCGTTAAACCGGTCAGCATGAACGCGTTTCGCGACTATGGGAAAACGCGTTTTTTTCGCAGAAATTTACACCATGGGTCACGGTTATCAAATGTGACCGTAGCTTAATCTGAACTTTACTTAAATCTTTCGCTCAAGAGTTCTATCTTTGGACTTCAGTATCAAGTCGCATGGTAAGTATTTCATTAAAATAATATTAAACCGTATTTCTCTATTTAGACAATATTTAGTGGCATATCACATTGTATTTTCTTATCTAGATATTTTATCAAGCGAGAGATCCAATGGTAAACATCAACGTATAAAAATGAGTTACGTTTGTTGTACTTTCGAGATGATGTAGAAAGGAGATGAAATGTGGAACATGGGTTTCGACGATAAACATAATCTAACATACGACAGTGCACGATCGTTTACGGCAATCGTAATTTTTGTCGATAGTTTGAATGAATGCAATTGCACGTAAATAAGCGGGACAACTATGATGAGTATTTCATGAAATAAAACTCTTGATAACATACTTCTTTAATTTCTGTTTTCTTCAAAACTAAGAATTTTTTACTGAAATGTCTTATATTTACCATATTATAAACAATGATACAAAATCAAAACTCTTAAAACTACTTGATAAAAACATACGACAATATATAACATTAAAATATTAGTTCATTTTACATTTTGTTGATAAATGATTTGTTCAAGTTTAAAGAAAAACTCTTCTCCTTAAAAATATTTTTCGTATCTGCTGACGAATAGTTCTTGAAACGAGTAAATTAATATAACCACAAATACAAACTCGAATGTAAAGACCCAATGTCGCGGTTGTTTGCAAGAGACTATCTATCTGTTTTTGTAAATCACTCTTTGTATAATATTGTGTAATTTGCCCGTACATAAAGTATAATGTCATCATTGAATCAAAAATAACATACACAATAATATTCATGAGTACCATATGGATAAGTTTTCTATCTTTTGACGATGGAGCATATGAATTATTTCTGCAGTTAGTAACAACAGTAGCAACATTAATACAACGTAAACGTCGAATATTTTTAATAGCCAATAATCCAAAGAGTATCATAAGAAAAGGCATCAAAATTCCTTTAATCAATGCATAGTAAGCTAGGAATATCATATAAATACCTGGTTTAAAATTACAAACAATACCATTCGCCGTACTTGGTACAATTTCTCGAAAGATTAATGCATGACTAGTAAATATCATCCAAAATAATGTACCAATTATAATAGACTTGTAAGCAAGCCGACTATTACTTCGATTTCGTATATGAACATTTGGTGACGTAACACACATGCGATCAATCGAAGCCAGAATTAAATACAATGAACTTAAGCAATCGAACAATAACACTGCATAAAGACGAAAACGACATTGAATAAAAGCAAATGATCTTGGCTTAATATTATAACCTGTTTCAAGCATTACAGGCAATAGTGATGAATATATAAGTAAAAAATTAGATAAATTAAATGACAGAAAATATATTGTACAAGGACTTTTACGTAGATTTTTTTCTCTGAATATGATATAACTGAGTAAACAACTGATTGTACCAAAAACGATTAAAATTAGACCACCAATGCGAAATATATCTGTTTGTATTAATTTTAACGATGTAATAAGGACATTTGATGGAGTTGCTGTCGACATTAGAAAAGCACTTTTCTTTGAAATGAAAGAAGAAAAAGAGCAATAATACCCTGGGTGAAATCATATGACGTTCATCTTCTTGAAATTTTATTAGGTTCTTAATGAATTTTCTCTATTTTTATCTTAAAAAGCCTATTAGAAATATAGACAACACAGATTATTAGTTCAAACCAAGTCATGCATTCTTTGATGCCCTAGAAAATGTCATTGATTAAAAAGAGAACAACTTCATTTAGGAATTAAAAGACAATGCTTATTTGATTTTTAATCATATTTCATTATGAAAAAAATTCATTCTTTAATCATATTTCTTGAATACTTTAATGAAATTCAATAAAAATAGTTGCTCAAAAAGAAACATATAAAATTTCTTCAAATACATCAATTGTAAATGATCAGTGTCATCCACGATTCTTTACATTTAGATTTCATAATTCAAAAATGAATTTATTACTCGATATTTTTATCTTCATTCTTGGGTGTTTCTATTGAAAGCGTACCCGAGGTTACATCGATCTCTTCTGAACGGAGTGAAACTTTCTGACCTTGTTGAACTTAATATCTTAAGGTGCAAAATGACCTTAGAAAAAGTTTCAAATAATCCGTTGATGGTTTCCAAGTATGACAGCTATGAATATTCTTATTTCTAGAGAGGATACTAATTAGTTAATGAAACAACTATTTCATTAACCAGGAACTTTTTTTTTCTCCGAACTTTATTATGCATTGAAAAATTTCACACAAAATTCGACATTTTGAAAACTTACTTTTTGTAATAAAAAAAAACACGATTTAGCAATCAATTTTATATGCATTAGATTCGTTTTTGAAGCACTATAGTTTAATAAGGTTTGGAAACGTTTCAAAGCAAATCGAATCATTAACGAAGAAAGTGCTCCAACTCATTAATCGCTTTTTAGTCGAGATAATTTGCACTATGTCTATCCAAATAAGGGTATGACAAACTCATTTTTTCAGAATATTCAAACACTATTGCAAAGATCCAGATTAAATGTCTATGATATAGAGCTAAAATTCATTTTATTATGAAAAGCATATAGAAATGAAGTGTTCACATTTGCGGTTAGATTAGAATGTGCCACACCACATCATATTATTACTGCCAACTATATGCATATACTTCACTGAGTAACTTGGCTACTAGCATTAATGACTAGCGGTATAAGGTAGTTATTTTCATTTCTCTTTCATGCTCTCAACTACACTCATATCTTTTTGGTCTAACCCAACTCTAAAGAAATACACTCCATTTTTATATTACAATGAATTTTTTTGCATTCATTTCTGAAAGCTCGGAATTATATCTCCATGAAATTTTTCTCATAATCATTTCATTCAAATATCCTAAAAATAGTAACTTACCATGTCATGACTTACATGAGTTATGAATACCCTGAGAATATCCAGGCCCATAGTTTATTGCTGCTAACATATTGAATTTTACAGTATTTGTCAATACAATGTTGTGATCCTACTCAGGAATACTATAAAAATTAATTTTCAAATTCTAACTTGAACGCTTGTATACAGAGGAGCCTTTACAAGAATAGGTTATTATGGAATTTCCAGATATTGTTGTTGTTCCTATGGCAAAATACAGCCTAGATAAAAATACATCTTTCACACCGTTCATATACACCGACAAATTCGATCTTTTTAGTTCAAGAGAAAAATCAATCAAATGATCGAAGTCTTTCGCGATTAACTATTCTCCTTAAGGCTTATTTCTATGCAAGACTTCAAATCGAAATTTAACAATCATATTTTCTGGTGCTCTTGAAGACGTTAAAGGTTCCAATATGTTGACAGCAATGAGTTATGGGTTCAAAACTCTTTTCAGTGTATCCATAATCCATTAGGATCTATATGATGCACATGCTTCCGGCTCAAATGCAATTAATCAGTTGGGAAGCTTCCCTCGTAAATCGGAGTGTTTTCAAGGAGAATTATCTTTTTTTTGCTAAATTTTTGAATTATCTAAAGAGTAAATTAACGATTTGAGTGAAGAGAACAACTTAATTTCATTGTCTATTCAAAGTGAACTGAAAAGAAAAGAGAGCATTCAACATACACCCTGCATTTTTAGTATAGACGGTTTTTCAAGCTGTGAGAATCATTAATTTTCTAAGTAGACAGTTCAAAAGCTAACGGAAAAGTGAAAATTTTCCCCCGAAAATCTACTACTTAGTAGTCAGGTTTTCTCTTTTCTTGAATACAAAGAAAAATTTGGAGAAAAAAAGTTTTCATTTAATGAAATAGTCTTCTCATTGACTAAAATCTATTCAAACAAGTTTCAGCTTCTATCGAACGCTTTTTTTGAAGATCATTTTCTCAATCAAAAATAACAAGTTTTTCTAGTTCAGAAAGCTAAATTTCATTCACATGAAATCAATCTAATTGTAATACACTTCCGAAAGAATTACTTTCTTCTTTTTAGTAACGTTTGTTATTGTCGAAAACTATCATTCTATAGTTATTGTATAATATTTCATATGGTCTCTTTTGTATTACATAATTTTGAATCTCTCTAATGTATGATTATCTTTGAGCATTTTACATTAATGGTATTATATATTTTTATTTATAGAAGTAATTCTTACAGAACACTATGTCGCTAAAAGCATTTCAAATAAGCTAAGAAAATATAGATTGATATCGATACTACGTCGTTGTTCATTCTTCATAGTGAATATATAATAATTTTTATTGAGTACATTGTCAATATATCAAAATACGATTGTTTAGTGTCGATTCTGTTATTTGATAGCTCATTCATAATCATTGAATAAATAATGCAAACAAAAGACAAAAACAAACAATGAAGAATTAGATGTAAACTGAAGCCTTCTGCTTTTGTATTAGCATGTCAACACATACTTAAAATACACGTTAGTTTTCTTTTTTGCATAAATTCAATAGAAGAGCGAAAACATGCAGATCAATAGCGACACAAACTAATGAGTTGCCTAGAATAAATTAAACTATTTATATTTTTAATATTTCTTCTCTATTCTTCACTCGATTGAAATACTTTTTGGATCAAAAGATAGCACTTGAGATTTTGCTTAAAATAGTATAATACATTTAACGAATATGGTTTTCTGCATTTTTTGGATTAAACATAATCGTGCACTAAAATGAAATACAGAATGTAAAATTTTCTCTTTTTGAATTTTTTCCACGGAACGTTTTATTATGTTTGTCAATACAAATTTCGTTGTTATGCGGTCCCAGTCATAATTTCCGCTAATTCATTCCATAAACTGTAATCTAATGGACATAAATCAGGAAGATTCATTGTCTAATGGTTCTTCGCTATGAATGCACAAAAGTAATCTATAAACTAGTTTTCATTGAGATGACATATTCCAACTTTAACGATATTCCGCTAACATCCAGTTTACAAAATAAGTTCGCGCTTTTTTGTGCAAATCAGTCACGATTCATTCTGTGATCGTCTGGTATGGAAAATAGCTAAGTTCTTCATACGATCGCAGTAATATGTACTTTGTTTCAACAGACAATTTTCTTCCTGACAAGCATTTCTTGAAGTGTAGGCGCCTTGTCATCTTTTAAATATTCACTTTCGTTCGAACTGTTCATGAACGATCGGTAAGGTGTGTCATAATATATTTTCGTCGTCATATCACTATTTTAATATCTTGTTTTTACAGCTGTTTGTACGTCTTTAATTTTTCATCTGTCTCCAAATAGATCAAAAGTGATTTTTGAATTTAATCATATGCATGGTTTTCTACAGAATCTTAAGCGCTATTTTTTTTTATATAAAAAGTTGCTTCGATCAAACGTAAATACAGACAACATAATTAGTTCTGGACCATCTGTTATGTAGAGATAAACTCTATAATTTATTTTGATTAAATCATTAGGCATGTTATTGCTATTTCAACAACGCTTCAATATTGTATTCTTGATCTTTATTAGATAGCTACCATATTAGTGGAATATACAAATTGTTGCTTAATAGATGTATTCGATTGTACTTTTTAATATAATTAGTTTCTATAGCAACTGCTAATTATTTCTCATCACTTATATGAATCAACCACAAGCTAAAGGAAAACTCCATCGTTCTGCAACGTTTTAATCATATACTTTTCATTTATGGAACACAAACATAGGCGGCGAAACAACGAGATTTGGACAGACTGAAGCCTATCATAGATTCTGCTATTGTAGATGGAAACATTTGTTTCTTATTTCATCAGATTAATAGATTTATGCAGAGCATTAAAAAATTCTTGTACCCAATGTCAAAATTTTTCGTCACTTTCGATGGTAAATAGTATCATTTTCGTAGTGAAACTGAATTACAAAACATTCAATTTTGTATAAGTAAATGTCGAGTTCTTCATGGCCCATCATTTCAAGTAGTATTTCTTTTGTTACAAGTAAAGAGATGTACGAGAAACTTAAATTAGATAAACTACAAACTGGCCGACAGTTTTATACATCTTCGATTGCTAAGTGTATGTGCCTCAGAAATATTTTCAATAAAATGAACAAACTCACAATGAGATTTCTTACGCAACCTATCGTTTAATTACTTCAATCTATTTTATTGATCGAACTCTATTTAAAATAAAAACAACACTCATAGTTATATTCTACAACAAGAAATATTTATAGTTTCATTAGAGTTTATGTAAATTAACACCTTCAATAGTACGTATCGCAAGTATATCTTTACCAAATAGTAAAGCATTATATGGTGCTGGATGATATTTATCACTTTTTAAAAGATGTCCATTAGCTGATATATGAAATAGACGAAAATCATATTCATCTGTAATAAGCCATTCATCATTATTTAACCAACAACAACCAGTTGTACGTCGTGGTACAATATTACCTATTTCAATTGACCAAATAATATCGAATGTTGTTGATGAACGTAAATCAAAACGTATTTCATTTGTTGGTTGATGAAAAATAATTATAGCAAATTTATCATTTTTATAACATATATCATCAATACATTCATTTTTTCGACATGTTATTGGTGATGACCATTCTTTAACTAATTGTATTGATGATAATAATGTAAATTCATATATTGATGAACCTAATTCATCTGTTGATAAATATAAACTTGTACTTGAACATGTACCTGAACGCCAATTACGATAAATATTATTATGATGATTTAAATCACATCGTTCAATAGCCATTAGATTTTCATCAATAGTAAAAATTGTATCATTAGTTATAACAATAAAACGATATAATGTTAATGACCAACATATAATATATATTCTACCATGTGTCCATGGAGTTTTTGTAATAATTGATAATTGTCGATCGAGTAAATATAAATCAGGTTTATGATGTACTAATAAATATTTATCATTCGTAGCCATCCAACAATAACTATCATCAATAATATTCATTGTTTTATATGGACGTGATAGAGGTAAAAGATCTTGTGTAATTTTATTAGATCGAAGTGTAGCAATATTTTCATCAATAACTAATGGACGAATATTACATTGAATATTTGGTAAATCATTTATATCTTTTTCAATTAATTTAATCGTATCTTTTATTAAATAAATATCTTCTTGTGTTGCATTTTGTTCTCGTATAAGATCATTTATTTTAAATCGTAAACGATCAATTTCTTTTCGTTGTTTATCATGATTTTCTTGAATAAATTGTTCATAATGTCGACGTTGTGTTTCATAAAATCGATCAATTGTACGATAAGCATCAGCACGCCATTTATCAAGAGTTGTTATAAAATATGGTTCAACAAGAGATATATGATGAGAATGATCTGATAGAATATTGATTTCCGTAATTAATGAATTAAGTTGAATATCACTTTGTTTATCAGAATGATCTTTTAAATGTTCAATACATAAATATTGATTACAACATATACATACAGCACGTGATGAATGTTTACAACCTGGATTACTACATGACCTTGGTGAGATTGAAGAATGCATTTGTTTTACTATAAGAAATCGAAATGTGTAACGTTATTTGAAAACGGCAAAGAATAAGAATAAAAAGATGTGTGGAGTGCAGATATATTTATAGTCTTTTGTTTTTCTTTTTGCGTCAGAATTGGCTAAAACTTTCTTTTTTTCTTTCTTTCCTTTTCATCTATTCTTGGTAACGAACACATTGTGACAACAAAAAAAAAGTAATTCTTCAAGATATGAGCAGGATCAAATAGGATGACGTAGTTTTTAAATCAACAGAGATTTGCGTCTTTTGTTATTCTAAGAAATAAAACAAAACTAAAAAAAGTAATTCAATTTATATTTTAGATTAGAAATTGAACTTTTTTTCTTTTTAATTATTAAGCTGATTAATTTTTAAAAGAACTTAAATTAATAATGCAAAGAAAAATCTTTATCAACAATGTAAACTAATTGTTTTAGACAAAACTTCATAAAATTAAATAACATTAAACAAAGTAAATAAAATAATTTTAATATTTTTTTTTCTAGATTTTTCTCTGATTGTTCTATTTGATTTGCTGTTAATGAAAAATAGACATTGAGTGTTTTCTTTTTTTCGGAGCTATCTTACGAATCTTTGACCCTGTCTACACTTTTTAATCACATTTTTACTACACAATTAGGTTATCAAAAATGATGGGATCCATGTTCGACGAGAAAATTTTCAAAACATATCTTTTAAAAACCATCCGACTTGCTTTATCTGATCCAGCTGAATTTTTGTCTATAGATACTTGCAAGTATTCTCTAGAGATGAAATTGCCATTATCGTTATTGTGAAAAAAAAAGAAAGCACAGTTAGATCTGAATAGTAAGCGATCTCAATGTAACCCTGTAGAAAATCAGAATTTTTCCGAGAAAACCTCATTTTAGATGCTTTATCTGTAGTAAAATTTTCATACGGATCGGTTGTACCCTCTTCATGAACTAAACATGGCCCAAAAAGTGCGGGTGCGTACTCTTGAGGAATTTGCTTAGTATTTCTACGTAGCAAATACCAAGCAGCTATCAATTATACTATTTAGACAAGAAATTTAACTTTTAATTTTATCAATGCTTACAACATGAGTGGATCCGCGAAAATTTTTAAACTAGTAACGAATGGGTACAGATTATTAAAAAGAACTTTGATATTTGAGAAGAAGGAAATGAACTGTTAACATGACCATTGTTTATTTCAATGTTAAACTCTAGAAAACGCTTATCAGCTGTGTCGCAGGAAAAGAAGTCATATTCAATAAGAGAAAGAATATTTAATATAAGTAATAACACTACATAAAATACATTAGAGATACCGATAGTTGCAGCAGTAAGTTTCTAGCAGTGATGAACATCGTTGAAGCATATACAAATATAAATTGTTGTTCTTCTCTGGAATCATTCATTGCAGAATAGAAGCATTATAAACTTAAAAATAGTGAGAAATACACACTTTTTATCTCTATAAATCTCGTAGAAAGACAAAGATATTTGGGGTATAGTGTACATAAATTTCAAAGAGAGAGATAACCGCTGCTCCCTTCTTCCTTGGTTTCATCACCGAGTTAATTTCAAAACACATGTAAATCATTTTAATAATAAACAGTTTTTTAGTTTATACATTCACATTATATGTTTTTTTTATTAAAACATAACATGGTGCTATTTCAACGTCAACTAACATATATGATGCAAAAATAATGGGACAAATGTCGAATCCTATTTCTCTTCAATAGAAAGGTACTGAACGAAAAGTGTTTTACTAAAGGATAGTACGTTTTCATCTCTATTGAATCGTATATAATTTATTTTTATATTACACTCATGAACAAAACGATGCAATAGAAAAGAGAAGCTGCCTTAAAAAACAACCGCACTTTTTCTATAAGAAAAAAGGATGCATAAAATGTCGATCCTTATATATTTTTTGATAAATAGGTTTTGAAAAAAATATTTTTTTATAATCAATTGTTAGGAAATTTTCTTCTGAAAAACACCTACGCAATAAATTTATAATTTTTAAAATAAATTTGTTAAAAACATCTTGTAAACAACAGTTGATTACAACTAACTATCATTTTACAAGATGCTTTTGATGGGTTCATATAAAAATTATAAATTTATTGTACGAATGTTTCTCTTTTTTATTGTCTCATTTTATTTACCAATGTGCGAAGAATATAAATCTTACACTGTTCGACAGAGGAAAACATTTCCTATCAACTAATAGAAAAATTTTTCGTTTCAATCATGTTAATCGAAGAGTAATAAGAAACAACATTGTGTGTTATCGTTTCTGTTGCGTAGTTTCATTTATGAACGTATGACAAAAATAACTTATATATGATTGGCAAGAGAAGAAAAAGTTCTATCTTCGAGTAAAATATTTTCCGTTCAGTATCTTTCTATTGAAGATAAATAGGATCCGACTTACTTTTGCATTATATGTTATTATCATCTTTGAGTATTCGTTTGATAAATGCCTTGTAAATTGATGAACATCATTTATATTAATAAAAATTATATCATTTTATATAGAATTAAAAAAAAAGAATCTGAATGAATAAATATTAAAGAGATATTACTAAAATACAGAGAGATTCATTATTTCTAGAAGACTCATTAGAATGAGCAGCTGTAATATTTTCATTTGATGTTACAAGTAATCTTCGTGCATTATCAGCAATCAATTGATGTGCACGCGTAGTAAAATTGATATTCATCAATATAAAGATAAGTATCAGGAGTTAAACTTAATTGAACAACAGTATTATTTGATGATGTATTCCAACAATTTGTTCTACTATTTATTTTATATGTCGAACCATTTATAAGAATATTCTCAATAAGTGAATAAACATCAAATAATTTAAATGATATATTCGAATAATTCGATTGAAGTGTTTGAATCGAATTAGATAGATTATTATTATGTTCAAGTGTAAGTTTATTTAAATAATCATTCATATTTAAAGACAAAGCAGATGGATATGCTTGAAAAGGTGGTTGATTAACAATAAGAAAATATTTTACACCTATTTCAATTAAATCATTTATTCCATCAATTAAACTTGTAATAACAGTTGATGGAGATAAATTTATATTAAAAAAAATAATCATTTCCACCAGCCCAAATTATATAAATTGTTCGATGAAAATTAACTTTACTTAAATCAGTAGTATTTTTGTATGTAGTTATCTGTTGACGAATACCTGATACAATTAACTGAAATGCTGTAACATCTGTTATTAAGTTATTGTCAGTAGTAGCACTTTCATATGCGTAATTAATAAGTTTAGATATGCCTAATTTTTCTATCCAAATTTTTCCATTGGAAAATCGACCTTTATAATAAGATGGATTAAGAGGTCATTTTGAATCTGTTAAATTATAAACATTACCAGTATCAGAATTTGAATCACCAAAACAAACTATTGTATCATATGGAATTTCTTCTGATTGAGTCTTATAAATATTGAACATTAAAATAAGCAAAAGAAATTCGTAGAATAATTCATTGATATATCAGTTTTAATCGTATAAACACAAATATTTTTTACTACATTTTCCTTTTATAATATGTCATGAATAATATCAACAATAATGGAAAAACAAATAAATACGTATATTTCAATTGCTATTGCATACGCACATTTTATCTATGGACGTATGCACATATGAATCATTCATCCGTTGTAATCACATATCTATTCATATAAATATCATGAAAATAAGAAAGTAAACTATAAATAATAATCGCCTACTTACAAAAAAGAAAAATATTATTGAGTAGAAATATTGTATACAAAACTAAAGCGAAATGTTTCATTCAACGATGATTCAAATGGATTATTTTTGTATAGAAAAAACGTATACCAACAGGTAGTATAAAATAGTAGTATCATTAATAGAGAGAATTATACATGCTGATTAAAATATCAATAAAACCATTTCATAATCAGTGTTCTTATAAGGTAGAAATAAAACATTTTCATTTCACGAAATGAAAGAATATATGTACGAAAAATGAATTATATGATATATCCCTATGTAAAATCAAGCAGTCAAAAAAAAATCAATTAAATACATCATATTTTGATTAAATTCAACGAAATAATAGATTTTTTTCAGGCAATATATCAGTTAAAGGTAATTTTTGAATCTATTAAAATTTATTTTCTTGAGAATAATCTAAAAAAAACTTGTCAATACGATTCCATAGGATGGAACTAATAAACCCCTGATTATGATGATTTTATAATATATTGTCAGAGAGGTTAAAATAATTTATTTAAAAAAAAAAAAAAAAATCAAAATAATAAGAATTTTTATAGTTATTATGCACACTCTGAAATATTAGTATTTCAAAAATATTTTCATTTAGCATTCTTTTTCTACTAATTTATTAGATTTATTCAATATTGTTATATTGAAAACATCTCAGTTTGAAGTAATTTACGTAGGAGGTTCCAACTTTATTACATTTGAGTGATTTCGATTGAATATCAAGTTTATTGTTTGTAAACATGAGCAATCCAAATCATCATAGAAAATTAGAAGGTTAATGTTCGAACCTGGAGAAAACCACTTATCTTCAATATGTAATATAATGAAAATAGATTAAAATTGATGAAGAGATAATCTATATTATCTACGTAAAAGAAATTTGAAGAAAAGCTGATTGTAATTCATTTTTAATCACAAAAAAAAACAATTATAATCAGAGTTTTTTCGACGTTTTGTTTTACATGAGTTATGTCAAATACAGTCAGTTATACTCAATATTCGATGATGAATCTGAATAAATGAGTTTTGTAAAAAAAATAAAGTGATGATATACGATTCAAATCCAGAGTTTCTTCGTCATTAGTCAATTTTCCGTATTTTTCATAATAATTTGAATTTTGAAAATTTTTATCAAAACTTATTGAAGAAAAAAAAAGTATTTACAGTACATATTCTGAGCCACCATATGAAGCTTTAACAAATAATGTATCATTTAACGAAATCAAAATTTTTGCTCGATTTTTGTCCTTAGTGCACTGTACATTGGATAAATAATAGATTGTATTTGTTTTTTTCTTTCTTTCTCTCTCTTTGTCGTTATTTACCTGTTGTGTAGTGTTATATAACGACGCATTTATCTTATTTTATGTGTTGATGGCTTTTGCACCGGTCTCCTCATTAATTCTTGATGGTCTGCCTAAATTTTTATCAATGGCATATCATGAAGCGCTCAACCATGCTATTTACACATTTGCTGAACTTGGTATAGCTGATCAACTTATTCAAGCTCCATTTGATCGTGGTTTTAGCGTTGAAGAAATCATTGGTGATGATCGACCACAATGGAATAGGGATTTGCTTTATCGAATATTACGTGCATGTATTTGTGGCGGTCTTGTCGAATCAATTAATGATGACAAACATTTCATTCTTACTGCATCTGGTAGTATGATAACGTCGAATCATCCATCACATGCTCGAGATTTTATTCGTTTCTGCTTTGGACCAATGTGTAGTAGTGCTAGCTTACAATTACCAAATATGGTATGTGGCAAGGGTACAGGCAGTGGAATAGCTCGTGTCTCGGGTGATGTAGATATTTATACGCTTATGGGTCAACCTGGTCAAGAGGAGTTCTTACAAATATTTAGTGGTGCTATGACAACATTTTCAATGCAAAGTAGCTCTCTATTGGTGACAGCTGTTGATTTTGGACGTTTCAAAACTATGGTCGATATTGGTGGTAATAGTGGAATATTCTTAGCTCAACTTCTTGAAAGCTATCCATCAATTCAACATGGAACTGTCTTTGATCTGCCACATGTTGTGAATAAGTTTAACAATGGGGAAGAGTTCGAATCACGTAAAATACATAAAGATAAATGGTGTTTTGTTTCTGGCAATATATTTGATTCATCAACTATTCCATCAGCAGATGCCTATATACTAAAATATATTTTACACAATTTCGATGATAAGAAATTTTTGGAGATTTTATCATTAATTCGTAAAGCTAATGAAAATCAAAAAGGTACATCAACGACTATATTTATTATTGAACATATAATTTTACCGGATGGAATTTTAAGTAACTGGCAATCACATGGATTCGATATAAAAATGGCTATTTTATTCGGCAATGCGCGTGAACGAACACAAGATGAATATGAACAATTACTGAAGCAAGCTGGATATGAACTAAAACAAATGTATTCAATTCAGGCACCTGCTTCCATCATTGAAGCTGTAGTTGTTCACTAATTGAAAATCAGTAAATTCTAATTAAACGTTTGAATAAAAATATCAGGCTAATTGATGCAAAAGAGTCTACCGTGAAAACTTCAGCTCGTTATAAAAATTTAGTTTCAATTCACAATATATTTGAATATTTTCTGTTCAGTGATTGAATTTTTATTCTTTCTATATCTATAAGTTTTGATGTTTGCATAGTACAAATATAGTGCTGAATTTCTGGAAAGAAATATTCTTCGTTGAAAAAGAGATTTATCATGTGAGACCGAATATTTTTCATTTTTGAAACTTTCTACTCTTAGCTCTAATCATTAACACAATTAGAAAGTACACAAGCTTCGCTTGCGTTGCAAAATACAGCGGAAGTGGTGGGCGATTATGACAGTGGTTGTAAGTATAAATTCATAAAAAAATCAGACTGGTTCGTATATCTAAGATAGAAACCAATCTGAAAGCCTTGGGTATCGACTGTCTGTCCATCTACACCCATTCTCAAACATTCACATCCGATGAACAGCTCTAGAAAAAAAGAATAAGCAATTCTTAGGAGAGTAGCGATCACTACCGAAGTCAGAAGATACACAATAGAGAGAAAATGATTGTTAAATCTCATAGAGAATGGTCAACTGACGGAACATTTCGAAATTTTTGCCTGTCAACAATTTGACTCATAACAAACGATTCAATAATATTCTACTTGCATTAAAATCAGTCAATCAACCAACGTAGAAAAACGGTTCTTAGTGATCGACATATCAAATATAGCAGAGTGAACGTAAGAACAAAATTTTATGAATTAAACATATCCATCTGCAAAAGTCGTGCTTCAATTGTTCTAATTTAATAATCATACTTAATCATAATGATAGATGATGCAATAATTTGTCGTTGACGATACCGTATAACTACCTTAAAGTCTATTATTATTGGAGTTGAAAAGAAAATTTAAACCATAACTTTTAATCCTTCGTACAATCCTATACTAATATTCATAATATAAAGAACACTAAATTATTGATAACGTGACTAGGTACGCAGCAGTAATCCATATGCAGAAGAATATTCATCATAAAAAATATTTGTTTTCCATCAATCGTCTACAAGTCTATCGATTAGAGAATTGAATAGTAACGTCACTATTTGAGAGTATCGAATTCAGTACTTGAATAGTGATGTTGGAGATATAATGTATTGACTGAAGTCTTTCTATGCATGCCGTATTATAGAGATGTTCGAGTGTCATTGATAGAAGTACTTCTAGTAGAGAACATTCAACAAGAAATATAGACACGAGCTACTTATCTACAGTCGCTGGTACGCTACACTTAGCATTTGTTTCACATAAACAATTTTTACTAGAAAATGGAGTATTGAGTATTTTTTCTCTTTCCTTCGATTTTTAGAAAATTTTGTTTTCTCAGTACATTTCTTTTATAAAGTGCGATTTTTTTCACCATTCACAGCTTGTAACTCAGCAACAATATGAGCTGAAATTTGATGTGACAATGAAACGTTTCAAGAGAGATAAAATATTAAAAAAATTGTTCAAAATGGTCGAGAGGAACAGAAGTGATAAGCGAAATACAGCCGAAATCTCGATCATACTAAACAGTTGCAATTCACTCATATATATATATTGCCGAAATGATTGATATTCACTGAACTATACCTCCTGTCGAGTAGTCGTTCTCTTGAATTTATCATGTATATTATCTATATAGCATAGGGCAAAAAGAATACATAAAAATATATTATTCAGAATCGATGTATTGGTGTTTGGTCTTTTTTTTATTGAGGATAACCAGTTAATAGACGTCCATATAACAGTTAATCTTTAAACCATAATGTGTTTCAGGTATATATTGTACATCTTTCCAAAAATTACTTTTATCATGATTATTTAGATTATGTTGACTTCGAACAAATCATTTATATTGATCATGTTGTTTGTGTACTAGATTAACTTATGAACCATTTCAATGCATTTTTCATCTTGATCACGTTTATATTTTTTCATTTATAGTTTCTATCTAATTTCCTTCAAAATCTTTAAGTATTGGTAAATCATCATGATGTCATTCATGACTAACAGAAAAAAAAGAAAACAGGAATTGTTGTTATTACTATTATTATTATTATTTAATTGAAACATAAAAATATACTTTTCTTTCATAGTTTTTATTAATTGTAATTCATATTCTTGATCTCGTATTTGCTTTTAAGTAATTATTGTCGTTGTCATTGTTCAATAATATTTTTTTCTTGATGAATAATTTTTATTATGTGAAGACGATATTCTTATAAGTGTTCAAGTGACATATCATTCAAACGAAAATAACATGTTTAGGCTTCACACATGGGTGATCCAATAGCCTTATATTTTGTTTATAAAATAAAAATTAAAGAATAGAAAAGACTTTGTTGGATGAGATAATCACTCTATATATGAAAAGCCATCTATACCATCTTGTAGAGCAACTCGTGACACATCGAATACTATATATGATTTTTCGTCTTTATCAAGTTTTAGCGTATTAAAAAGCCATATACCAGTTAAGGAATATTACAGCAATTGTGGGTCATATGATCAAATATTAGGACTTGGCATGTCTTCAAATCAACCTATATAAATGTTTGTTTAAAGTTACTTCAAAAAAGTTTGGTCTGGTCTTTAATTGTATATGTCTAATAATTCTGGAAGGTCTTCTTCGTAACGCAAAAACTTAGCATTTTATTAGTTTTTGTGCGTTTTGGCTTTTATGATATTTTAAACATTTTCGATACTGCTCCTCAGAGTTTTCGTAGAGAATTAAAAGACAAATCTTTTTAAAAAAATATTAACTCTGAACAAATGAATATTAAAAGAGATTTCTGGGATACTCTTTACTTAACAACATGAGCATGACGTGGAAAATGTATATGATCTAAGGTAATGAAAGATGAGATTCTTATCTTAGTAGATCAATACATGATGGGGAGCATATTGGACATCCAGTTCATACAGAACCACTGTACAGCGAACATTGCAATTGATGTTCTATTGATAACTTTATTTCTAATCTGAGAATTATTGTAATTCTATCATAGAAACAACAAACATCACTACATTATCTAAATTCACTTATATGTAAATATGAATTTCAACAAAAAAAAACTTTTTTATTTTTCAATTTCTTTCTAAGAATAATTTTTTAATATCAAACCTAAGAATAATATCAATATTTCAATGAAATGAAATGTAAGATTCAACTGATTATTCTATACATATGATTTAAAACAAACATTTGACGTTGTTATTTATGGATATAAGTGATATTTATTCAACTAAGTATGCATCTAACTGTATTTTAATCTCAAACAATTAGTATTTTGTAAGATTCTTCAATCAATAAGTCAAACATGTATAAAATTCTTTTTGTATTTTCAACCGACAAAACGTTAATATCATGTATTTGAAGTTGATTTTTCGTTAAGATAATGTTGAACATGTCGAGTAACTGTAAGTCCACTTTCAAGAGCTCCATCAATAAATCCTCGCCATCCATTTGCTGTATCACTACTTGCAAAAAATAAAGGTATTTCATGTTCCTGTAATGTTAATAAATTTGATGTCATTTGACCAGGTCGATACCATCCCCATGTTCCACTTGTAAAAGGATCATTACGCCAATCATGTCCAACAATATATTTGATTTTAATATCGGGTAATAATTTGCTTAAAGCAAGTTTTACAGCATCAAAATCTCGAATATCTAATAAATCTTCCATTCCAAATGCAATAATAATTGTACCTTCTTCATCATCTGTAAAAGCCATCGTAATTGGATTAGGATATGGTGCATAACCAGTCCAATTGCCAATAGGTTCTTCAAGCTTAATAATAAATTTACTACCACCACGACATTGTCGTTCATTAATAACACGTTGTTTTTCAAGTTTTAATGATGGAGAAAATTCTATATTGTGTAATGTATTTAATGGAATAGTAATAATTGCAGTACGACCAGTAAATAATTGTCCATTTTTTGTACAAATTGTGACATTATTATTATTGGTACGATTAACAGAAACAATAGGAGTAGAAAGTAACAATTGAACATCATGACAATCATTCAAAATAGCTTGTGCTAATGCACTTATTCCTTCAGTTATTTTATATCGACTAGTTTTATCAAATAATCGACATGTTTCATAATCTCCAAGTGCCCACCAACGAAGATGATCAATAAATCCACTTTCAGAAAGTTTACATTGTGGATTCATTGAAAGATATGCATCCAATAGTTCATACATTTCTTTATTATTATCGAACATTGTTGAGATTTGATCTAATCGATCTTGCATTGACATTTTATCATACGTATGAGTAACTTCATTGGCAGCGAAAGGTTCATGTGGTAAAGGAACAATAGTTCGTCCTTGAACTCCATCAACATCACTGTAATTATTCATAGCTTCACATAATTGTGGTAATATATCTGTCATTGACATAAGTTTTAATCGAGAACCATTATCTAATAATAAACTAAGACGATCACCTGTTATACCTTTAGTCTCTGTAATTGAAAGACCATAACGTGTAATTTCAGTCCATATATGAGGTTGACTCCAATGTACCCATGTACCACCAATTTCATACTTTTGATTTTCAAATTCAGTTGTAAATGTTCGACCACCTATTCGATCTCGTGCTTCAATAATTAATACTTTCCGATTGTGAAGGCTAAGTTCACGTGCAGCCATAAGACCAGTAAATCCAGCACCTATTATTATTACATCGAAATTTGTATTGGCTGTTACTAATGATGATGTAATAGCAGCAGTTGTTATAAGACCATTTTCAAGACCATTATTTCCATGATGAACAAAGCCGTCTTGTGTACGACTTGCAACTTTATTCGATCTAGTCGTCATTTTAGTTTTTATGTTATAACTAAAAATGTATGCACTTTAACATACGTTGATAATAAGAAAGAAAGAGGAATACTTTGATTCTTTTTCTTATCAGTTGTAACTTTGAACTCATGTCATTTTTAGATTATTTGTAATTTAAATATTGAAAAATATTTTATCATATATGTAAGGACAAGCTTTTAAGTTATTTACTATATTCACTTCTTAAAAAAATTTATTCTATTACATTGAGTTTCTGTTTTCATTTAGACATCGCTTTTCTATAACTATTGAATAGAGATGTCACTAATGTTCGATGCAACATGAAACGAAACTTGCTGTAATTTTTATTTTTTATGATTTGTTAATTTATTCTTATTTTCGATTTTACAACTATATAATAACATCCATACACAGATAGGCAATAATCTTGTACCAAAAGTTAAGACACATCGTCTCGTCATGTTTCATTTGTTCGATGATTGATGCTAGAGTGTTCGGTTTCTCTCATGTATATGAGTTCGTGTTCTATATGAAGTTGACACAATTGGAATGATGGAATAGTGTAGTAAACATCTATGCTAAGTGTAACGATAATGTTGCTCGGTCAATTTGTCAATGCTGATATCACAATAAAATACACAATGGTTTAGGTAACAAAAGAGAACATCATTTCATTTGTCTCATTTTTGTTACAAGTCTCCATGTTTTTTTCTTGAAACATTTTCAGACAAATCTAACGTTTCTTTGCAAATAACTATCCAAATCTAAATTTGTACTTCATCAAAACATTTATGATAGAAACTTAGTTCAAATAACAGAGTTTTAACTGTTCTTTTTAATAGTTGAAATATATTTCGATTAAAGAAATAAAATACTATGAACGAACAGAAAAAAAGAAAACTAATAGTTTTTTAAGCTATACTGTTTGCTTACTTTGATAAGAACAAGTTCTGTTACAGTATAATTCTGATGTGAGTACTCTAAACTCTGTATTCCACTTGATTTTCTTGAATTTTCAATGTCTGGATGGTGGATATATCTAGTTTCATTAAGCGATAACTTTCACATAGATTGATTTTGTTTCGTTCCTGCTTCGTTTAAATGCTGTCATAAGGTTCTTTCGTTGATTAGCGATATCTCTGTTTGGAACGAACGTTTAGAGTTTGACGAATGAAAAAAATTATTGATACTGTCTTTTCGGTTGTAGCAGTGATTGACAAAATCAAATAGAATGCCTCACGTCTTTTGGCTATTTCCAGCGCTTGAGATTAAATTTCATTATCGTCACGTCACAATGGATTAGTTACACCAAAAACCTATGAGTGGATATTAAGCTCAATGAATTCAAAGATCAAAAACAATATCAGACGGCTGATATACTGATAAGATCGTATGTCTAAATTATTTTAGAGCTACTAACAAAAGATATTCGAAGGTGAAAAATTCAAATCTGTGTACCACATGTTATCAAAAGAAAAAGAACTATAGTCGTTTGGTCTCAAATTCAGTTTGAGAAATGATTTGTTTATTCATTCCTTCTGAAACGAGTTTTTATTTGTTTTACCATTATTCTTGGATTTTTGCTAGAGGATACTATACACTATATAATGATATACATGTAACAGATCATGTAAATCGATTTATTTATGAGGTTGCAAGAGAATATACGCCCAAAAAAGTGTCATAAGTAGACATCGGCATGACCAATAATTTTTGGTCACGGTCATGTCGATGTCTAACCCTTAACCATTCTTCTTTTTTTTTTTTTGGTCGGAACAATCTAAAGACTAATAAGCTTAGATGGGGAAAAATACTCAGATAAATATTATTGTGAACATTCGTTCCGTTTGTTTTTGATTGAAACAACTTCATAATCTCATCTAGATTTCAATTGAGAACGCTGACGAACTCTATAAATTTTTAAAGTCAATTGTATTTCAATTAAGTTATAATCATTAACTTTAGAAGAATATATCAGACCAGTTTATTATTTTCATCTTTTCCCAATTTTTAAATCGTTTAAAAGTTTTGTTTAATTTTGCCTAAGTCTCAACTTTGCCTGACATATATATATTACTGCTATTGTGAGTGTATATTGTATTGGTTATATTTCTTTGTTTTAAATTAATACAATTGAAAAAAGTTGTTGATATATGTTGAAAGGATAAACGTGAAATATTTAATTCTGATTTAAATTATAAAATAACCGTTTTATAGCTACATTAAACATTTATCGTGACTCGCCGTCACCAGAACCTGGTCACAGCGGTCACGCCGATGTCTAGTCATAAGCTTTTCTACTTAGTATATTTCACATAGATTAATAACGCATTTATACAGAAAAATAACATTTTAAATATTTATCAAACATTCGAATCACGAAGTTCAGAAGTACTATTCCTAATATTTGTATTTAATGAAATTAATTCGATATTATCGTTTTCTTCTATATTAATATTAACATCTTTACCTCTATCTTCATTTGTTTTATCAACTTTTTCACAACTCATTGCATTCTTACTATAATGTATAGTTTCTTTTGACGAATGATCATCTTAATAAGCTGTCTTAATATTTATGAGTAAGTATAATCTTGTTTCTGATCGACTCATCTGATAATCGTCATCCTCAACGCCATCACTAATGAACATGCAGTTTTGAAATCAATGTCTATTCGAATAAGAACAACTTAATGAAATATGCCTCTTGGCAAACAGTAACTATTATAAGTAAATATTCAAACAAGAAAAATATAACAGATGCATCACAGTCATTTAAAAAATCAACATAAGACAAGTGTCATAGATGCATCAAATGAGTTATCATGTCGATTAGTTAAGAACTATTGTCTTTTAAAATATGACTAATTGTAGTGGACCGTGGTCTCTACATGATCATGGCTATATTTCGTTTTAAAGACTATACCAAGATGCAAGACATGACAGAGGCCGTTTTTCTAATTAAACTTTGTTACTATTATTCAAAGGAATACTTTCATAATTAGAGCGTCTTTTTTTTTGAAAGTTTGTCGAGACATTAAACTTTTCTCTGCTTAAAAAATAAGAGTTTAAAAAAAATGAGCTCTATCATACCCTGCATCTTGACATGTTCTTTCAAGCAAAAGCAAATTAGTCTATGGAATGAAGGCTGACAGAGAATTTTGAGTCACCAAAAGAGTTATTTTTTTGACCCTTGTTAGTGGAATATCTCTGAAAAAATCAGGATATAGGACTGAAAGCTTTATTATAGCCTCTTTCCTACTGTTCCAGCGTATCTTGAAAATTTCATGCGATTTGCATGTACTTGGGCCAACATCAATCTGTAAGCGGGAGCTTCAATAATTGATTTCGTTTCATTAATGCATACACTCTTTTGTGAAACATGATCAAAAAAGAGTGCTAACATATAAAGGTAAAAACTGGATCCTGCCTCCTACCCCCTACCCCAAACTGTGATAGATGTTGTTGATATACGATCAAAGACCGTATATAAATTAATGTCTCGTTATACTATATAAACTACTTTCTTATTGCATTTACAGAGTATTAAGTCCGATAATAACGCTGACGGGGGGTACGTGTTTTATTATGTTTGATCTTGGATCACACTCCCCTCTTGAATTTCATTCTCTCTCTCTCTTTCCTAACAAACAACAGGTATTCATATCGGATGTTAGAAGAAAGATGGAATTTGCCAAAATAGATAACATAATAGGATTGGAAAAATACCGGAGTTATCATACGGAAACAATAAAGAAAGTCATGGAATATATCGAAAGAACATATAGACAAATACCTGACAAAACGAGAGAAAACGAATATATATGGAAAATACCATTAACAACTTTTCCTTATGCCATATAATATGCACGTGCGATAACATCGAGGATTAAGTAAAAACATAGTGAAGAAATGTGTTCCAAAATGCGTAGAAGAAATGAATCTTCCTGTTACGAGCAACAGTATCAGCATCGCGTTTCACATTTAAATCCAGTAAGGATTGTGCTAACATCTTTCCCTTATCTAATAATAATAAGTGTAAATATTCAGTGAAAAATTTTCTTAGTAGATTTTTGTATAAAACAAATTATAAATATGGTTCAAAGTTGAAAATATGTTTTCTTAGCATAAAGAATAGTTTTACAAGATATAAAAGTTTGTTATCAAACAAAAAAAAAACAACATCAAATAGGAATAAAATTAACATTTTTGTAAAAAAATCTGTACATAGTCCGTACTAAAACAAGCAACAATGATATCTAACCAACCATCATTGTCAAAATCTCCGACATTAACAGATAGAGGTCGAGCATTATAATTTACAGGATACGAGTCTGGATTTGCAAAAACTCCGTTGTCTAAACCATAAAAAACAAGTATTTTATTGGTACCAACATTAGCAACAACAAGATCTAATCGATTATCTTTATTTAAATCAGCAACTACTATCGAGAAGGGAGAAGAACCAATTCCAGTTGAATAAGTCGTCATAAATGAAAAAGTTCCATTACCATACCCAAATAAAATACCTATATTGCTCGTGTCAGTATTAGCAACAACAATATCTAATTGATGATCATTATTGAAATCACTTACAACAATACAACTTGGATTAGAATAATCACCATTTGTGTGGATTATTTGCTTCCCAAATGTTCCATCACCATATCCGAGAAAAATACCAATATTATTTGTACCAGAATTAGCAACTGCAATATCTAGTCGATCATCATTATTGAAATCTCCAACAGCGACTGAAAGAGGAGAAGAAGTATTGCCCGTTGAAAACGTTGCTTGTGTTGCAAAAGGTGTACTTTTATATCGAAGCATGATTATTATAGTGGCAGTGTTAGGGATAACGATAGCCAAGTCTGCTCTACTATCATTGTTAAAATCACATATTACAAAAGATGTTGGATATGAATTAATACCAGTTGAATAAGTTTTCAGCATTGCGAACTTTCCATATCCATATCCATAAAGAACACTAATATTACCATCACCATTACCTATATCAGAGACAATTATATCAAGTATTTTATCATTATTCAAATCAGCAATGGCAATCATAGCCAAAATAGAGTTAGAGCCCATTGGTATTGTTATTTGGGATGAAAAAGTACCGTTACCATATCCATAAAATATGCCAATATTCTTACTGTCTTGATTAGCAACAGCGATATCAATTGAACCATCATTATTCAAATCACCAACAGCAATTGAATATGGACTAGAATCATATCCAGTTGAATATGTTGTTACACTTCTAAAAGAGCCATTACCATATCCTAAAAGTATCTCAATTTCGTCTATGTCTCGACTGGCAATAGCTAAGTCTAGTATGCGATCATTATTGAAATCATCAACAGCAATCCAGAGTGCTGACGAGTTAGTTGATCTCCAATATGATATTTTCTCTGCAAATGTTCCATTACCATGTCCCAGAAATATACCAATATAATCGTTTCCTTTGTTGGCAACAACAACATCCAGATTATCATCCTGATTGAAATCACTAACAACAATAGAATCTGGAGATGAAGAACCCGTCGAATATATCCTTTGTTCGGTAAATGTTCCATTACCATATCCTAGAAATATGCTGAAACTGAAACCTTGTGAATTGATGACAGCAATATCTAATTGTTTGTCATTATTGAAATCACCAACGGCAATTACCGTTGGAGTGGAACCCGTTGAATAGGATATATGATAAATAAAAGTGCCATTTGCATATCCTAAAAATATATCAATAAAGTTAGTCTCTGAAAAAGAGACTGCAATATCCAATTGATTATCATTATTAAAATCAGCTGCAATAAGGCAAAAGGGAATGACAGCGCGTGTATTTAAAATAATGGTAGAACTTTTAAATGTTGGATAATCAAATCCAAGAAATAGACCTATACTATCTGTACCATCATTAGCAACAACAACATCCATCCAACCGTCCTTCTGAAAATCACCAACAGCAATTGAACTTGGAAGAGATTCAAAGTCAGTTGAATGTACAGTTGGATCATCAAATGTTCCATTGCCAAAGCCAAAAAAAAACATTTATATTACTCATCCAATAATTAGCCACAACAATATCAAGTTGACTGTCTTTATTAATATCAGCAGTAATTATATATTGTGGACGTGAACCAAAACCAGTTGAATAGATAAATTTGTTCATAAAAGTTTCTTTTTCGTAATCAAGAAGTATTTGTACATTATCAGTTCCTGCATTGGCAACAGCAATATCCGTCCCACTATTGTTATTGAAGTTACCGACCGCAATTGAGTATGGATGTGGACGAGAGCCAGTTAATAGTGAAGTCTTTCTTGTAAAATCTGCATTGTAATATACAAGAAACACATGAAAATCATTAGTGCCAATGTTGGTAACTACAATATCTAATTGGTTATCATTATTAAAATCACCAAAGGCAATCGAAGATGGAAGAGAAGCAAATCCAGTCGAAAACATATTTTGTGCTCCAAATGTTCCATTACGATTTCCTAAAATAATACTAATACTGAAATACCACTGATTGACAACTACAATATCTAAGAAAGTGTCATTATTTAAGTGACCAAGACCAATAGACCATGGATAAGATCCAACACCAGTCAAGTACATATGTATACTTCCAAATGTTCCGTTTCCATAACCAAACATCGTATCTATACTTGAAGAATAAGGATCAGCAAAAATGAGATCAAGTTGTTCGTCATTGTTCAAATCTCCAATAGCAATATTACTTGGATAATTAACACCAGTTGAAATGATCATTGAAATATAAAAAGATCCATTACCATATCCAAGATGTATACTAATTGTAGCACGTCGATAATGTGCAATAACAAAATCTAATAAACTATCGTTATTAAAATCACCTACAGCAACCGAGTTTGAATATATATCACTTTCAGGTGCATATGTTTTGAGAATTGTAAAAGTCCCATTACCATATCCAAGAAAGACACCTGCGCTATTAATACCATAAGCAGCGGTGACTATATCGAGATTATTATCTTGGTTGAACTCACCAACAGCAACCAAGAATGGATAAAAACCTTCCACTTGATACATATTTGTATATTTAAAAGTTCCATTGCCATTGCCTAAATAAATACGAATTGAATTTATTCCAGATATGCCAACAACAATATCAAGATTATTATCATTATTAAAATCACCAAGAGCAACCGATTGTGGTCGAGCATTATTTTCAATAACATATATTCTTTGACTTTCAAAAGTTCCATTACCAAGACCAAGAAATACACCGATACTACTACTATTACTATTGGCTACAACAATATCCAGTTGATTATCGTGATTGAAATCACCAACAGCAATAGAATCTGGTTGAGAATAAGCACCTGTTGAATAGTTCAGTCGACTTGTAATAGGATGAACAGCAAATGAACTCAAAATAAGAATATTATTAGTAACAGAATTTATGATGGCAACATCAGAACGATTGCTATTGTCGAAATCACCAGTAACAATCGACTTCGGAGTAGAAAAAGGCCCCGTTGCATGCGTTGCTGCAATAGAAAAACTTCCGTTTCCATATCCTTTAAGCAAAAATACATTGTTGTATTCTGTATTGGCAACGACCAAATCTAAATTTTTGTCATTATCAAAATCACTAGTAACAATAAATTGTGGACTAGAATCAAGGCCAGTCGGATATGTAATCATATTTGTAAAACTTCCATTTCTATATCCTAGAAATACACCTATATTCATTGTGCCACTATTTGCAACAATAACATCCAAGATATTGTCGTTGTTAAAATCACCAACAACGAGTGAAGATGGATGAGAATCACTTCCCGTCGAATATTTATGATTTTTAAATGTTCCCAATCCATTTCCTAAAAGTATATTTAAAGTATTAATACTATTATCAACAACAGCAAGATCGATTTGATTATCATTATTGAAATCAACAGCAACAAGTGAACAAGGAACAGAATCAAATCCCATATCAATGATTGTTTCAATATAAAAAGATCCATTGTTCAAGCCTAATAAAATCGCTATATCTGAAGTACCAGCATTAGCTACAGCGATATCTGATTGATGATCGTTATTAAAATCTCCAATGACCAATGATAACGGACGAGAAGAACCAAGTGAAAACGTTATTTGATTAGTAAAGTTTCCATTACTCAAGCCGAGAAATACACCTATACTATGAGTACCATAATTGGCAACAGCAATGTCTAATATAGTATCATTATTGAAGTCGGTAACAGCAACCCAGCATGGAAGAGATATAAAGCCAGTGGAATATGTAACTTGATCAGTAAAAGTTCCATTTCCATATCCGAAAAAGATACCAATACTATTAGTACCGTAAAAGGCAACTACAAGATCTTGATGATTGTCTTTATTAAAATCGCCAATAGCAGCGTGTGACGGAAGTGAATCGTAACCAATTGGATATATAATTGTCGGTTGGAAAGGTAACTTGCATGTTTTATCTAAACAATTCAAATAAGAGAATTGAGTTAAATGTCATCGTTTTTATCTGAGATCCAAAGTAAATATCAACGATGACATTTGGTGACGAAATGAAAATGACATTTTGTGTAGTTTAAAGAATATCCGATATGCTTTGGTCAATGATCTACCTTTTGATTTAAAAACAAATTATTCTAGCTCTTCAAGATATCCAGGTATAAGAAGATTTTTTTGGTACTCCATCACTTTGCTAATGAAAAGTATATCGGTAGTTTGTTGAAAAATCTAGACATGCTCAGAAAAAAATTTGGATATAGGTTTTATAGCTTCAAGAGTTATTTACACAATTTTATTTTAATTAAAATGCATGAAGTGAAAGTTGAAGTCTATTTTAATGCTAGTTGTTTTACTGATAACTCCACTGAATAATACTTTTGAGCACTGATAGTTTTAGAGTATCTAGAATAGCTTAACATACATGTAAACATTTAAAAATTAGTTCTAGGAATACTCATGATCGCGACATATACATGTTTTTATTTTTGTGAAATCATATCACTGTTAACGAATAACTTTGCTCATATATCAAGAAGTATATGAATACTATATCTACATATTGATTAGTCATTGTCATTCTGACCTTAATTTGAAAATTGGCTATTAACATGTCATGATTTTACTTTACCTAGGAAATTATTTGTATTTTATAACTAAAATAGAACATACTTTTGTCTTTTGGTGATGTGAAACAAACTATGAATATTCCAACAGTCATTACAATAATTGTAAATGCAGCAAATATAGAAGCAGCTATTAAAGATCGATGTTCTGGGCACCATGAATATTCTCTATCGAAGACAATAAATGAATAACGATACAAGACATGGAAAATAGACGGCATACAAACGTGTTGGCCTTGTGTCGCTCACGAGTAATTCGTGTTGACCAAATTGACGATACATTGAGTCTTTATCTAGCTGACTATCGATGCAAGAATATTGTTCAACACACGATTATTCAACTGAAAATTGTCAATATTTATAGAAAGTATATTCATGTTTAAAGAAACAACAATAAATAATACTTGAATTATCTGTTGAATAATTAATTATATGAAGTTTTCATTTCTATGAACTATGCTATTTTGATCAAGAAGAGACTCTATCCAAGGGAGCATTATGTGTTTTTTTTTTAATTTCTTTGACTAGTTAGCGTACTCTTTATCAAACTAGATGGTATATCAAGACTGCCGAATCTAAATTTCAAAAATTAGATTTGAAGAAAAATAGAGGTTTAGCAGGTGATTTTTACTGAGAAAAACAGAAGAAAGTCAAGAAGAATTTTATTAAAATCATATAATTATTGGGTGGTTTTTTTCTCGGAGCAAAATGAACGTTTCGACCTTGGTACTAGAACAATGCGTTACAGATATATGAATATGGGTATTGATGAGAGTGCGGATTATTTGTATACCCTCGTTAACATCCTAATTCACAGAACTACATCCATCAATACCCACATCCTCATGCATACAAGAATTTTCCAAAGCACAACTAATCGTGGTTCTTCTTTGAGTATTTTCACATCCACTCAGAAAACACAAAAAGTAGATGCTTTTATAAAACATGCGTAAAGACACTTAAAAAGACAAGTTTTACATCCGAGAAGCCTACTAAAAAAATTTTCTGCAATATTTTGACGTATTTTGCAGATAAAAATGACTTTTTGTATGCTTGATGTACATCCAATATTTTATGAAAAATATTTTTAGACGTTTCCAGAGGTAAAACTTGTCTTCTTAAATGCTTTCAAGCACTTTTTATGATGACAATAGCTAGTCTTGTATTTTTTGAATGGACGTGAGAACACTCAAGCGAAGATTGTGGAAAGTTAACTACATCAAAGATAATGTCCACAGATGAACTAATATGACAACTCGTCAGTCTCAATTTCGGTATCGATTTCAGAGTGTTCGTTACCGTTAAATCGGTACCGGACACCAGTCGTGAAAAATTCAGAAACGGTTGCATTTCTGATTCACATCTGCACCCTCACATCCACTATGCATGATCTGGTGACGATCGACTATAAAACTTTTGCAATATGACTATATTTTCCTTAAGAGTAAATTTAGTTCAAAAGAACTCGATTACTTAATCGATTATTATAGAATATTGTATAATTGTCACTGCAATTTTTTACTCTATTGTTTTTGTATTAATAAGACCATGCTTCATGCCATTTCGATTATTAACCTGTAAAAAACTCCATGTGTTTTAAGAGAGATATACTAAAAGTATTCGATGCTGATAAAGAAAAATGAAGTGAACTACGTAGTTTTCGTAAGTTAGATATAGTTAGACCCAAAATATTTTTCAATTAAGAACATCAGAAGAAAATCTTAAAAATCATTATATCTTGAGATGTTATTTGATTATTTTTATAGCTCTTTTTCTTTTCTTGTTAGATGTAAAGCTGATCATTAAGAGAATTTCTCTGTTCAAACTTCGCTAATTATCTTTTTTTGAAAGTAACTATTCATGTGAAAAATTGATCAAAAACGAAGATAATTTAAGAACACTATACAATGAACCCGGATTGTTGTACAAATATTCTAATCTCGAAATTTCACACCCGTGATAGAAACAGAAGATCAAATAGTTGTAAATCACTACTTGTAGCTCCCTCTTTACTTTCTCATTTAATCATATATATAATCCAATAATGATTCAAATATTCAAATAAATAGAATTTTTTTTCTCATATCACATTTATTTTGTTTGAAAATGTATCAAACAATTAAAAACAGAATATTTTTCGTTCATTTTCTATTCAAGATTTTCTCTTTGAATATTTTCTAATTTTATATATAAAATAAAAATATCAAAATGTATTACATTTAACTTACCTTTTTTAATGATCGGTAACCGTAAACATTTTGTCAATGCACGTTTTTTTATTAATGAATAATATTAAGATATAAATGGTTTGTTTTCCACTTCAGTGATTTTTTTTTATCATGTCATTTTTGTTACCCATCAACAAAACCTATTTTACCAATGGACTGTGAAACAATGAATCAAAGCTTATGAGTTAATTCTCTCCTAACTATTAATCATTTATTACTAGCGTGCATATGCTTGCTGTAAGCCGTGGGCAGACAAAAAAGGATGACATCAAAACATATTTTGATGTTTTTTTTCTTCTTCTATTAATATTTAATCTATCTAAAGCATTGTTTATTCGATAACAAGTTGATCATAACATGAATCAATAAATCAGGTTGAATCATTTCTTAAATTCATTGATGTGATTTTTATGATATGTCATTTTGTTATAATAAAATATAAAGGTAAAATGTGCAGATATTAATGTAACCGAAATTATATGACTTAGTCACGCTACTACGTATATTGATTCTCAGGAGAGAACGTACAAAAATGATGCGCGTAAATATAATGTCATTAAAAAAGCATGAAGAAAAATAAAACAAATGTTTTGTTTTTTTCTTAAATCAGTATGAATTATTCAATAGAACTTTTGTTCAACATTTATGTCTTTTTTTTTGTTGTGTAAATGGTAGTGACTAGATCCTGATGCAAATGTAAGGAAGATTCAATATTTTTAACTTAATAATTTTTCATAAAAGTTTTAAACAAAAACAGTACGATCTTAACTATGCTTTTAATAAAATGCGTTAAAAAAGATATCGCTTATGCATAAAATCATTTCATAAATAAAAGAAATTTTTTCTAATTGTCTTCGACTTTTTCATTAAATAGCAAAATTCTGTCGTAAATTTTTTTTTAGTAAAATATTTTTTTTATCTATAGATCGGCAATAGAATTGATTTGATTCGGTTTTTAATTTAAAAAAACCTGAACTGATCTTATCATACTACTATACATAATGTTGATAGGCGTAGTTTTTTTTTGTTATTCTCTTTCACTAGTTGTGTAATATGTAATCAGTAACCGATTCGTGTCTGTGTATTATATAGTTCTTCTTTGTTTTCGTAAACATAATTTATTCTTACTGAATAAAATAAATTCGTTGTTCGCAGGATACCATAAGAATGAAAAATATAGATTCTAATTCAATTTCAAGGATAGTATTGTTCATCTTTTGTGATGTGATACGAAATTTTTTATTGTTACCTATGCACTATCAAAAAATGTCATTTTTTCTTTTCATAAGAAACTTTTTTTTATATCTGCACTTTGATTTTATCCTTCATCTTCTAGCATCCCACAACCACTATCACAAAAGAGCAAGGTAAATATGCACACAGAAAGTAACTAACATGCTATAACTGACAAAGTAAAAGATATTGTTTTGATATAATAAATAAAAAAACAACAAAGTCACCATTCATATTCATCAATTTTTGAAAGAATATTATTTCTAATGTATCAAATAATTTTAGATAGCATCATCAAATATGTCTATAAAAAAACTACGAATGGGTATGATTGGTGGTGGTCCAGGTGCATTTATTGGTGCTGTTCATCGTACAGCTGCATGTCTTGATGGTGAAATTGAATTAGTTTGTGGTGTTTTCAGTTCTGATTCTGAAAAATCACATGAAATGGGTAAACAACTTGGTCTTCCTATGAATCGTGTTTATGGTTCATATAAAGAAATGATAGAACAGGAAGAAAAAATAGGAGGTAAGAAATTTTTAAAATATATTTGATAGATCATCAAAAAACAAATTAATGTCATATAATTATTTTAGGAATGGATTTTGTAGCAATCGTTACACCTAATCATGTTCATTATGAACCTGCTGTTCTTGCTCTTCGTGCTGGTTTTGATGTTGTTCTTGATAAACCAATGTGTTTCTCACTTGAAGAAGCTCGAGAACTTTCACGAATTGTTAATGAAACTGGTCGTATTCTTTGTTTAACACATACTTATACAGGTTATCCTATGATTAAACAAGCACGTCAAATAATTGTACGTAATGATATTGGTTTAGTTCGTAAAGTATATGTTGAATATCCACAAGGTTGGTTAAGTCATGAAAATGTTGATTCAAAACAAGCTAAATGGCGTCTTGATCCTAAACAAAGTGGTCCATCAGGATGTTTAGGTGATATTGGTGTACATGCTTTTAATTTAGCTGAATATGTTACTGGACTTCAAGTCACTCATGTATGTGCAGATTTACGATCAGTTGTAAAAGGACGTCAACTTGATGATGATGCTAGTATATTCTTACGTTTTAATAATGGAGCAAATGGTGTTCTGATGGCTTCACAAGTAATTTTAACTTATGAAATTCTTTAATAAAATATTTCTGTATTATAAGATTTGTTCAGGTGAAGAAAATAATTTAAAAATTCGTGTTTATGGTGAAAATGGTTCAATTGAATGGCAACATGCAAATTGTAATACACTTATTGTTCGATGGTTGAATAGTCCTGCAGAAATTTATCGTACTGGTACAGAATATCTTTCACAAAGTGCAATTCATAATACACGAGTACCAGCTGGACATCCAGAAGGTTATATTGAAGCATTTGCTAATATTTATCGTAATTTTGGACGAACAATTCGTGCAAACAAAAATGTTGAAAAAAATCTATCTGAAGAATGCAGAGATTTTCCTGGTGTTAAAGAAGGCGTTCGTGGTATGGCTTTTATTGAAACTTGTGTAGTTAATAGTAAAAATGATAATGAAAAATGGACTGAATTAAAGGAATAAGAAAAAAATGTTTGATGTCATGGTATATTAACTCTTGTTTTTAAAATAAAAGAAGTAATAATAATAGCGTATTGGCATTTGTAATTATTTTCTTGTTCGGACATATGATAACATGTTGAATATGTTACGTAATAACATGTTTTACTTTTTCAGTGAGATAGAATTTGCATACTCTTTACTACATCATCCATTCTTGATTGAAATTCGATCGCGTCTCTCACAATACAATGTTAATGTTTAGAATCGATATACGAAATTCACTTCAGCAGTTGTTTACAAACAGTCTTTAACTTCTGTAATACAGTGGCCGCAAAAAGTCCCGCTATTAATCAATGTAGATTTTTTCTTCAGACAAAAATATATCAATATAGAAAATAGATATTTCATGATATTAGACCTTTCATTCGATAGATCAATGTTCAACACGAGAGTTGATGAGAACCGTTGAAAAGTGATCCATATTTCTAACTAATTTTAACCATTTGCCTTGAATGCCTCACTATTAGTAGTACACATATCAGTACTATAATTCTACACTGTTTCCTTTGTTTATTTCTCTAATTGATTTTAAAATTTCAGTTAATGTTGTTCGCGATTCAAATCTCTTTATTTTTGCCTTCGTAACCACGAATGATAGCAGTGTTTCGATTGTTACTAAAAATGGTCTTGTTATTGTTTGAGTGTTGTGCATGAATATTATCTCAAGACATTGTTTAGAATTGACTATGAGAATTTTCAAAAATATAAATAAAACTGAATATGAGAATTTTGAGTATTATTTGAAAGACTAATGTAATTAAAATTAAAATTTATAGATATCAAGATGATTAAACATATTTGTTGCAATTGTTTTTTTTTTTTTTTTGAGTGAACTTTTCATATAACAAATAAATCTGAAATATTCTCTAGACAATAATCACACAATCGCCATAATTATATAATCCTACTAAAAATTGCCATGGAAAAGGTGTTTGTTTCATATCAACATGTTGAATATGTCTTTTGTCTGTTCGTTCATTGTATAATTCAATTTGTTTTTGATCACAATTAAGAATGAGTTGTAGAATATCACCTATTTGAAATTTATTATTAAAAAATCGATCTTCTAATTGATCATGACAACCATGTTGCCATATACTATTATCTCCACACCAACCAATCGTCGATGGATCACTCCATAATCTTTGATCCAAATCTGCATTTTGTGTTGTGATACCAAAAAATAATTGTTGAGAAGATCTAGTTCTTTCAATTTTAAATCGAATAATTGATCGACCATAAAAATATTTCTGTTGACCACGAATTCTTCCGTATCCCTCATTATCACCAATATATGTGCTATGCATCTCAGTTCGATCAAGTTGAACAGGACCAAATATAAATCCAAATTTATCATTGACATGATTTGGTAATTCTACATTGGAGTTTTTTTCTATAATATTATTTGCTTCAATTTGTATTAAATAAATAGAAGAACGTTTATTATCTTTAACCAAATTACATGAAGTTGACAAATCTATATCAATTTTTAATTTATTCAATTGTTTTTGCCATTGTTCTAAGTCTATTTCTGAAAAATTATCTGTCTTACGAGCCGAATGAAGATTTGTAGCAATATCATGACGCATTTTTGATGAACGTTGTTTTGAATGATTGATTATTTGTTGAAGATCATTACGAGCTTTTTCGGCTGTTTTTTGAATTTTTATAATTGATGATTTTTCCCAATCATTAATTTTTTGTATAAGAATATGATTAGAAGATATTTGAGAAATTTGTTGTTGAATTAAATCATGTTCTTGTACAATTATTTCAAGTTGATTGCTAAGTTCTTCTCGATGTTGATTTACATGTCGAGTACAAAGCATATTTTGACATCCATCACAAATAAATAAACCATTCGTATTTTCATAATCATCACATTTAACACAACGCTTTTTTATTTTTTTATCAGTTGTCATTGTTTTAAAACTTAAAAGAAATCAAAACACGTGTTTTGAAAAAAGTAATGTTTCGCTGTTGAAGTTTTTTATTGTTTGTGCTCTTGTTTTTATGAGAAAAGAACTGATAAAAAAAAAATGATTTGCTTTCAAAAGAAACACAACTACGATATGAGACAGTGAATAAATAAACACGTGTTTGCATGTGACTAGGTTAAAACAAAAAGTAATAATATTATTGTTGCTATTTGAAAGAATGAAAAAAGTATTAAACTAGAAAGTAATCTGTGGCACAAGAGAATTTTCATGTTCAGAATAATGAATTGTTATTTTGAAGTAGAATACTCTCGATAGTAAATAAACGAATAATACATATGTAGAACTTTAGAAGAAGCACTAAGTTCGAAAGATCTTTGAAAATATTTTCTAGATATTTACATGATCCACATTTGATTACTTTTCAATGTGCATCGAATTCGTCTATCAATGTAAGCTTTCACAAAGACTTCACATGCGATGAAAAGAGTCAAAAAAAAGCTGATGATTTACTGAGGGTTGGATGTGGGTGTTTTTTTTTATCAAGGCGGACACCCATGCTATCACGCCGTCTGTTTACCATAAAAATTGATGATTAGCCGAAGCCCTTTAAAAACTCTCGGTTGAAGCGGTGTACTTTTATTTTCACTATTTTTTCTTTGAAATGAGTATTATCTGTCATAAAATGGATAATTTTAATATTATACAGTATAACATGTTCGATGCTGCTGTAATTTTTGCATTTTTCTGAGAGATTAGTAATGCTAATCCAGTGAGATATAAAAAAAAAGTTCAAATAGAAGAACTATTGTTAACCATCGATTTTAGACCTGTTATCAGGACATGAGATTGATTTCTTGTAACACTTGAATAATTCTATAATGAATATTTCAATTTTGGCCGTGACATATATTTAGATTAGTTATAATAAAATTGTAATTTGCCATAAACTCTTTCGCATTTATTGTTAAAATGTATTTCAGTGATAAGATATCGAACTTTCTTTTTTCTTTCTCTATGACTAACATGTTTCAACATGAAAACTTTCATCGTAGTCGAGATCAATGGTTAAAGTTAAAAAAAAATCTCCAAATCTCATAAAATAATTATTGAAATAAAGCACTAAGGAACCCCAGACGAAGTGTAAAAGGTTAGTAATACTTTACAGCTGAGAACGCCTGTTCATTATCTTGAGATGGATGTTAGATGAACGATGGAAGATGGTAAACTTCGAGTTGTATAAATCAATAAGATCAAACTAGTAAATTCGTGTCTACGTCTTTCTTAGATAGACTTACATAAGCGTCTTTGATCTGATATGTTTCAATTTTTTTATTAGCTTTAAAAAAAACTAATATTTAATAGAGTTTCAGAACATATGTAATTGATATTAGTTGTTTAAAATTGAATACAAAGTTAACAAAACTTGATTATTAGAATTTATGTCGTTCCCATAAGTCTTCTAAATGTTTCACTGAAATAACACTTGCTCGGTGAGCTAAAATAGGTGGTTGTTCAATATAAATTTCATTTATATTCTTTTTTCCAATTAACATCATTTTCAATTCATTCTCTTGTAAACGTGTTAGAAATCGTTTTCGTCGATAAATCAATGTTGGATTATTCAATAAAAATACTGCAACATACCATTTATGTCTTGCTTTTGATAGTCGTTTTGTGTTTGTCGGATAAAGATGACAACGAAGAAGATGACTAACAAAATAAAGTAAGACAGGATGTCGATGAGCGCATTCCACAAAAATAAATCCACAATATGCACTGAAACCTGAATCAATAGTTTCTAATTTCCGACCTAATGGCGAATAATCGAGACGACACATGTACAAAATTCCGCCGACAATACTTCTCAATATACGCACTATAGCTGCAACAAAACCCAAAAAAGCATCAAGAAAAAAATTAAAATATACAAACACCATAAATGCTCGTCGATTATTAATTGATAAAACCTTTCCGGCATGTTGTAGAAATATATAATGACCCAAAATTTTGTTTACATACGTCTTAAAAAAGACAAGAAGTAAAGTAGGAATAGTAATTTTGAGAATAGTCTCAAGAAATTTCACATTTCCATATGTTATGAATGCATCAATTGACATTAATATAATGAATAGAAAAATTGCTAGAAATATATAACCCACTATAACATAACCAATTAAATAACCAGCAAAATGAAAGGTTCCCGTAATATAATTAATATTTTCTGAAGAAATACGTCGTGGAATTTCACTATCATCACCACGAAATGCTTGCAAAAGATTTCGACGAATACCAGCACACATAATCAATAGCTGTACAAGTGTTATAAATAACGCAGCAATAAAAGCAATCAAATAAGGCCGAACAAAATCGGGTAGAGGAAAATCAGATAATGGATTTTCATCTGTCTGCAAGTTAGGATCGGGTGTGTTTGTCAATTTTGAAAGTAGATTAGCCACTTCTTGGCTACTCTTACGGATTGTATCAAGTAGTGGAGGGCCTTGTACACAAAACTATTCGTTTTATAATTAAAAGTATAAATTTATAGTCATGAAGAAACAGTCTTAACTTATCAATCGCTTGTGAATTTTAACTCTATATGCATTAGTTGCTTTAGTTTTAGTCACTGACTTTATATATACCAACAAATCGAATGATGATATTTCGTCCGAAGACTTTATCCACAGACCGATATATTCGTTAGTAGAATATCGTCTTTTCGAGATATTACAATGTCTATAACTCTGGATCAGGCGTGTAACCAGGGGGGGGGGGGCAAATGGGCAATTGCCCATTTCATTTTAAGATTTGCCTATTGTAATTTTTTATAAGTAAGACTTTGCCCATTGAAATTTTACTTTTTCAGAATTGTTTATTTTTTTGCTGCTACATACAACTATAACGATCTCGATGTAAGTTCAGATGAAATCGGAAAATTATATGTACAAATGCATCATCGTCGTCTTGATTTAGGTGTTTGAATTTGAAATATAAATCTTATAAATAGAGATATTAAAAGTAGACTAAATACAGGTGACTCAGGCTTAAGGTCTCTCCACCTCTCAAAAATTAATCTCACTTCAGAAACATTCTAATCTCATGACATGTAGAGAATATGTTGTAGTTGTAGTGGGAAAGCTATGGTAAAATTTTCAGCTCTATATCATGACGGTTGACAGACAGTTACCGAACAAGGTTCAAAAATAGCTGATTCTGCATCCGGAATTTCTCGGTCGAGAGTCTTCAAAAATATTTAATCTTTTTTGGTTGAAAGAGCATGACAGAATACAGGGCATCAAAGACTCATCTTTTTTAATTCTTATTTTTTCGAAAGAAGAGAAAGAATTACAAGTTTGATGAGTCTAAAAACTCTGTGAAAATGGAACTTAATTTATAGAAGTGACCGTATATATAACAGAAAAAAGCTTAATTAAAAAGAAGGACTCTTTGGTGCGGCACGTTTTGAGACACTGTTTCAAACAAAAAAAAATTAAATGCATACAGTGGGGTTCAAAAGTAACCGACCCAGTCTTTGATTGCAAATAACAATTGATAGGAACAAGATAGAGAGCTACAGTTTTCATTGTTCCAAAGACAATAAAAAACTACATTGTATCTTGAATATTAGTGTTTTATAATAAAATTTCTCACGGTTTCTGAACAGAATTTTAAAAAAAAATCAGACTTTCTGAATAAGTCTAGAAAAGCGGATTTTTCGTAAAAATTTGAGAAAAATAGTCGGCTTTTTGCCAAGAACGCTTAGTAAAATGTTAAGAACTAATGATTTGCTAAATCTTTTTGGTATCGAACCTACACAGACTATTGAACTTTAGACAGAGATTCTGATACACTACTGAAAATTAAAATTCTAATACTTTTAGATTACACAAAAGTTTGCATCACAAGAATTGTCTGGAGACTCCGAGTGAATATTGTTATAAAAATCTGATAGTCGAATCGATGCAGGTTTTTTCCTCTTTTAAACGATGAAAACTGTAGCTCTCTATCTTGTTCGTATTAAAAGTTATTCGCAATCAAAGACTGTTCTGTTACTTTTGAATCATCCAGTATTATTAGCTTTGGCGGAGAAATTTGAGTTGAGCGCTCGACAAATCATAAGCTGAGAAAAAACGAAAAAGATGTTTCAATTTTACTGGAAACCAGCTTATTTCTCAAGCAGATGGTGACGGAAAAGATCAAAACTTTTTGCAAAAAAACGATGTACCAAATAAAAAGCTATATCTCTTTTCAAAGGGCCGACTGCGGGTTATGTTCTCACACACTTATCTCAGTTTTCATATTTTTGACGAAAATTGACTTTTTTTGAGGACGGAGGTGACTTTAGATCTGAGTTTAATGCATATTTGTTTAAAAGAACCTCATTTAACTTTTTTTACGTCTTTTTCACGCTCTCAGTACTTCGTTGGATCAACCTTTTTTTGACCCATCAATGAAAACCTTGTCCATCATTTTTTTCTAGCACAATAGAACTTTGCCCATTGCTCTAAAAATCCTGGTTACGCCACTGCTCTGGATAGGAGTTCGAAAGGGACTTATTTCTTTTGAAGTATCTTATATCTCACTGGGATCTACTTTATGCACAGAGACCAAATTCAAAATCAATCGATTAGTTAAAAATGTTTCTTCGTCAATCAAGTGTCTAACCTGGATAGTAAGAAAGTAAAGTAGTAGTAAAACTGATGCATAAACAGAAACAACACGAGATGAGAAACGAAAATCATCTCGCCATGCATAAATAAATCGAAAAATATGAGAAAAACGATTCGTTGAAACCTTTGTATTGCTCATTCCAAATAAATTTTTAACATATTGTGCTTCAACTGAATATGGTAACGATGAATATAAAAGAGTTCGTTGTTCACGTGTTAATTGTCTGTCTCTCACATGTTTATGTCGAATTCGTTTGAAAAGTAACATTGGTAGTTTAATGCTAATATAAGATAAACATAAATAACGAGGAATATCCGTTAATAGTTGAAACAATAATAAGTTCAATTCTGTGCCATAGTATTGTAAATATGTCACTGTTTTACTCACGTTTGCTTTTTTATAATCATCCTCTGATGAATAATAATCATTCTGACATAGACCAGTATAAACAATAGTAATACTAAAATCGAACCATACATATACAGTAGCACAAATTAAACTGAACCAAGTATCAATGTAGACAGCTGCTAAGGTAGGATAGCATCGAAAACCAATAACAAAAACTCTTAGGATTTGAAGAAGATAAATTATTGCGACACCTATTAATATACAAGAAAATGTTAGAATTTATTAAAAGACAATTTTTAATAAGAAACTCGATAAGAATTATGAACAAAATAGTCTGAAATTATTGAATAGCAAACCTTTATTTGATGATGGACTGCTTCCTTTCAATACCTCGTTTGCAATATTTAATAATTCATCAGCAAAAATAGCAAATATTACAGCTGCCAATGTTCGTTTCACATGAGCAAAACAGTCTAGCGGTATTGGAATACCAATATAACCTTTACAGTATTTTCTTCCTTGAAATGAAACACGTTTTGTTGTTATAGTGAAAAGTAAAATAATGAAACAGGCAAGAGGAAAAGTAAATAGATTAAATTCAGCTTTCAAATCAATAATTCGACAAATTGAATGTCGCGTGAAAAAAATTGGTTGTGCTTTCTTAAATTTATCAACGATTTCTTCATGAATTGGTTTTAAAATAATCCATTTTACAATAAGTGTAGATGTAGCAAGTAAAATAGTACCAATAAGCGTAATCCACGATAAAATTCGACGAAAAGAAGCAAAATCAGCGGTAGCAATAGGAAGAAACTTCCGACTGATGATTGGAATATTTTGTCTACATGAATGAATATTGAAAATAAAAGGAAAAAAGTTTTGATACTACACTTGCTTCGAATCATTTCTTTGTGATTTACGACTTTTAATAATGGAAAGAAAGAACGTTACACCATGAAAAAGTATTATCAATAAGCTGAGTAGAATGCCCAGGGCAATAATTTGCCAGCCACTATTTGACACTAGAACATAAGACGTACGTGTATTTAAGTTTTAATAATGATTATTATAAATTCAAGAAGCATATATTGTCTACCCAAAAATATAATGTATGTGATTATTTTTGCAATAACACAAGAATGTGAAGGGTTACAAAACTGTAGTTTTCAACATTACAAAGAGAAGAGTCAATTATAGAAAAACCTGATAAAATTTCATAAAGTAGTGCTTGGTCATTCAGACTAAGTCTTTGTTGATTTATTGAAAACAATATTCTAGCATCATTTGACTTATATAAAAGAAAAGACTTTCTCGTTTGATCTAGACAAGATCGGAATTACAAGCGCATTTTGTTCAAAAGTTATAAGATTTTACTGAGATTATCAATTTCAGCTAACTCATATTGAATCATACTGAAAAGCAACAATCATTATTTCATTCTGCATAGTATTAAGTTTCTATCGAAACTGTTCTGTATGATATGAAGTGAGTTAGTTGAAATGGATAACCGTAGGAAAATCCTTATAAGTTTTGAACGGACCAAGCAAGTAATGTCGAACCTTTAATTCGATCGGTGATGATAAGTAGTAAAAAAGAGTTTATTTAGGTAAAGTTTTCAGATTCTCGCTTGTTCAATTATGAGCATAGAATTGCTGAGAACCTGGCTGATCGAAGTTTCAATCATTGATAAACCTTATAACTATAATATAAAGATTTCAAAATTTGAGCCAAGACGAACATATTCTTGCTAACATATTCACACTTAGAAAAATGCCGGTTTTGGAGTTATGCTTTAAATGAAGAACGTTTCTATGATAAGCTGATATCTCGATATGGATATATTTGTTTAAGTTCAACGTTTGGAGTGTTTCTAGTGACTATAAAGCCTAAGTGTCGCCAAAATCTCAGTTGAAAATTCGATCACCCAAGCTATTGATCATGACTGATTGAATGACCGTAGTCTAAAGTAAAAAGCAATAGGATAATTGGAAACGCTCCCTCATCAGTCTCAATTGAGAAATAGTTGAAAAATATCGTTTTCAAAATGTTCATCAAGAACTAAGCTTATAAGTCGAGTGCTCACCAATGAAATTTCAGTAAACAATTATATTCTTGATTCTTCTCTTTGTAATGATCATACACATAAGATTCTTGGCTAGAGGATGGCTATGCTAACTTTTATATTCAAATGTATTTTTCTTTTGTTTTTTTTGTTTCAAAAATAAATTACTAAATTCAACCCACTTTGATTGCACATTGTGCCATTCCACCAAAACTTGCAAACACATGTCCATTCGCCATTTAAATTATTACGGCAGTAGCCATTTTGTCCGCATGGATTATATACAGAACAATCTTTAAATCATATGTAAAAAAAATAGCAATCAATCTATCACGATTATTTTAATGCTCACTATGTCTTAAAATCATCGGGATTGTAGTGACATTTACATAAATTGATTGATCTCCTGCCATCATGAATGATATTATAAAATGCACTATTCTATTCTATGTCATCAAAAAGAAAGTATACAATGATATAATCCGGGAGCTTTTGTTTTACTTGATATTTGAAAGCGCTTCTTATATAGCACAGTAAAAATGTGATGTCGCCTAAATTTGCTCTTTATACGCATAACTAGAATGGGAGCGAATTGTTTTTTTTTTATTTTTGCTACGTCAACATTTTGGAAAAAAAGTTGAAGCAAATACTTTTTCTCATGATGATCAACATAACTTATGAGTGTAAAAAAATATTCTTGAGAACCAACTAAGTAATAAAGTGAAAACATTTATAATTGATAACATACTAGACTATTTACTTACAAATACATTTAAAGGTACCACCACTGTTTCCACATGTTAAAATTAAACTTTTTTTTGACTTTTGGTATGACTGCAACGTATCTTCTGAAAACTCGCGATGCGACTATTCTTGATATGCTAAATTCTCCTAATGATAATTTATAAAGATGATAAGACCATAAGGTTATGAACTTTTAACATAGTCATTTTTCGATCACTATAGTTGGAGAGAAAAGTCCTCGTACGTACTAAAAGTTTTTTTTTTCATTTTTTTCGAAATCAATTTCTACCCAAAAAAGTGCTGCCTCACACCCATTTGTGCGATTAAGCTGGCATGTGTTTTTTTACACGCATTGGACACCAGCTGAGATGCCTACCGTTTTTTTTTTGTTTTGAAAAATATTCGACCGTTAATTTTTGGTAGGTTTCACAAGAAATAAGGCATAAGTATTCTTTGACGATATGTTCAGTATTTTGGTCTTTTTATTCAAATCGAAAGAAATAAAAAGTAGGTATACCAAACAGTGTTTAGAATCTGCAAAAGAAACTTTTCAGCTGTATTGGACGTATTGTAACTGAGAAAGCAGAACGATTTTTAATATTTGGAAATTCGGAATCTATGACAACTTTTGCTCTAACCATCAAGATCTATCTACTCTGAAGTTTCAAACATTTCTGAGCAGCTATTCATGAGAAATTCTGGAAAGAGACAATATATGAAATACAAATATCAAATTTTTTTATAAAGCAGCATTTGTAAAGAAATCGAATAGTAACAATAAACAGATTCATAAAAATACGAAGAAAAACGTTTAATTGTCCTCGCTTTAGAGTTTCTTGTAATGAATTTGATATCCAACTATATGAATAATATCATTGAGTACAAAAGAAAAAGAAAGCATTTATATAAGCTTAACTTTCATCATAGAAGTACCATTCAAGACCTTATTCATGTTTTTACGAGTAGAAGAGATTAAGAATAAATGTAATCAATTAATTTATAGTTGTATGTTGATCATGATTTAGATATTCATTTCCATTTGTAAGAAATATAAAATATTGAAATAGTACTTAAAAGAAATTATACACTTCAGAAGTATGGACTTTCAATGGTTTTTTGTTTAATATTAAAATAAACACGAAAAAGAAAGTGACACTTCAAACCGTCAGAAATAAATAGACTTTCAATTCATTTAAAGAATAATTTTTTTCAAAACAATCCTTTAGTATTTCTCCGAAGAAATCGACAAACCAAATGAAATAGAGACAATGTCAATAGTCAATCTACGTTCTTCTACTATTTTATCATAACACAATTAACAATGATATGGCAAAAATATGAGAAAAATTTAACTATTATCTTGAAAAGAACAACAAGACTCATAAAAAAATATCATTTATTCTTTCTGACAACACAAAATAGATAAGATAAATATAAGTCTCTAGTTAACCTTGTATTCTATAAAATAACCGCAGTCAAGTTGAAAAATAAGTCTTCTTCGTGCAATTATACCGGTATTTTATATTCGACTATAACAATGAGTAATTCTCAAAAATTTAAAAATGAAGAAAATCAATCATCAATTGATGATGAAATAAAAACTTCTAGAATTTTGAAACAACAAGTATACATGTTAGGTAAGTAGAATATATTGATATAAAGACTATGTAATCATTCAATTTTGTTCGTTCGTATAGAACGCTATATGTTTGTTGAAAATCAACAACTTGAAAAATTAATTGTTTATCAAAGTAATAATTCAATAATAGATTTATCTTGTCAAAATTTAACTGATCATGACATGGGAATTATTATTCAACATGCTGTTGTTGGAAAAAAATGTAAAGGTCTTAATTTATGGGGAAATAAATTTACATATGAAAGTATTTCAATTCTTGCTGATGTATTAGATGGCAATAAAACATTACGAGAATTGGATCTTTCATATAATCATATATCGGATACTGGTGTTCAGATGATATCCACAATTCTTTCATCAAATAATTGTGTACTTCAAGACATCGATCTTTCATCTAATGACATCACAGAAAAAGGTGCTATCTATTTAGCCAATATGCTTAAGAAAAATCAAACATTAAAAGCATTAGCATTGAATAACAATAACATAAATGATAATGGATTGAAAGCATTAGTTGATGCACTTGCGAACGATAATACTAAATTGAAACAATTAAAACTTGAATCAAATCGACGCATAACACGAGGTGGTATCGATTATATATTTCATTCATTAAAAGATAATAAAAATTTAAAAGAATTTTATGTGAAAAATTGCAATATTTTGGATCAAGAGCTAAAGATGTTACAACAAAAGGCGATTACATTTGAATTTGATGTTTTTATATAATAACATATATATTCAATGACTACATTGATTATTTATTGATATCTTTTTTTTTTACTTTTTTTTGTGAAGTAAATTAATAAATCATTCAGGAAAACGAATGATAATATCTATTTTATTTTCTTTCTCATAAATCTTTTACTTAGATCTTATCTTGTTTAGAGTAAATGCTACATCGTCAATCTACTACTGTAGTATTGTTATTGCCTATGAATATATTTTGTTCGCCCTCGTCAAAAGCACTAAATACTTGATAAAATTAACCGAACGTTTTAGCATTACCAATTCCGTCTATCTTCAATAGTTTTGTTTTTTCTTGTATTCCTAAGAATAAAAAGCCATGGTCTTCTATTATGAAAACTCATATCGTTCTTCCAAAAGGACTGTTTGAGAATTACATCATCACATGAGTTACATGAATTTCGGCGCGCCATTAAACTGAACTTATTGACCCTTACAAATTTTTCTTTAATGCGTTGCTAAGTATCGTACTGCTGAGCAGAATGACATGCCGCTCACCAAGATGGCGTGGTTGTGAATATGTATAGGGGGTACTCGTATCCACATCCGCATTTTGGCTCCCACACCTCACACTCACATCATGTAGTAGAATGCTATGCCATCCTGTTCAGCACTATCCCATGTAAAAATTTAAGCGATAAAGCTAGCTTAAAATAGATTATATTTTCGCTTAGAAAATGCTAGTAATCGCACATTTTAAACCACTTAAAAGTGCTACAAACATATTTAAGCGCTTATCAGAGATTAAAACTGTAGTAAAAACTCTTCCAAGTCTCTTATGGCAGCTGAACAAGTCAAATTCTAAGTCTTTACCAGCTGCTTAGAACTTATCTGTTGAACAGTAGTTAATAAGCGCTTAAATGTGACAAAATTCAACGCTTTGCAGTCGCTTAAGTTCTATGCAGTTGCAAAGCACATTTTTATTTCGTTATATTTAAGCGCTTATTAGCTGCTGTCCACTAGATGAGTTCCAGGTCGCTAGTAAGGACTTAGAATTTGACGTTTTCAGCTACCATGAGCGACTTGGAAGAGCTTTTACTACAATTTTAATCTCTGATAAGCGCTTAAATATGTTTGAAACACTTTTAAGTGGCTTAAAATATGCGTTTACTAGCGCTTTCTAAGCAAAAATAGAATTTATTTTAAGCTAGCTTTATCGCTTAATATTTTCACATGGGTCATACATCATTTTTTAAACAATTCACGAAAGCCTTTCCGGACTACGATTTTATGTGAATAGAAAGTTGTTTTAATTTGCATAAAAGTCATGTCCTTTTAGTGTAGGAACACTGGCAGCGCTGGGTAACTCAATTCAATTCATGAACCTAGTTGAATTGAGTTCGAGAGAAAATCTTAATCAAGGAATTGAATTGAGTTGTGTTTAAAAAAATTTCGACATCACTGAACTGAATTGAGCTGTGTGGAAGCGTTTTTCTCGAGATCTTCGAATTCAATTCAGCTCAAAGATATTTCCATAATTGTTATTGAAAGATCAATTTTCGTAATAAAACTAATAAAAGATGAAGCTATGATTATGATCTATTTTAGAATTTTTCTTCAGAGCTTCTATGTCAAGATAGTTGCATCACACTCGCACATTCCGATGTATACTTCTAATGCGCTTGTGTTAACTTATCGCTATTTTCTTTTCTGTTGTGATGACTACATATAATTAATGCACCTATGCTCTTAACAGGCCTATGTGTTTTCCTATTCTTTCAGGTGATAGATACAATGTTCATTTTATCCTTATTGTATAGGACTACCATGCACATTATTAGTGTGGTTTACTAATAAATTATCTGTTGTGAACGTATGTCTCTTATACTGTATTTCTCGTTTGTTATTTTATCATATGATTCAGTGTATAATATTCTTTTGTAGTCTGCTAATATTGTTGAATAAATACTCCAAATCATTTTATAGCAGATAACCCTGGTTATGGTCAGAGATGAATGGAACGAATTTTTTCTGTGTGATCAACAACAATAAATACTCTGTCTAACACGTTCAATCAGGGAAAACAAGAACAAATGTATTGGCTAGATTTTTCTAATGCGACTGAGTTGAGTTGCCCAGCTCTACATACTGAGATCAAGAAGCTTCAGATCAAGTAGTTCGCAATAGACTCCATAAGTTCCAACAGAGAAAATTCATGTTGCCTATTCAGACTATTCTTCAATTACTGTTTATACAGCAACCATTGATGCTCTTCAAGCAATAATTGAAGATGATTCTCACTGAATATATGAATTAATAAGAAACATTCCGAGCATAATTTCGCCAGCAATCATTTCAAATTTTTTCATTTGTTTATAATTCTACTATGTTTTATGATCGATAAGTGCATTAGGAGTTTATTGATAACTGACAGTGGTTCCATATTCAATTGTCTGGTCATTTTCTGAAGAGATTTGGTTGAATCAAGTTGACTTTTGTATTTGAAACTATTACTAATGCTTTATCATAGTCATACAATTAGAATAGAAAATAAAAAGCGTAGTCGAAGATTGGACTACTATAAAACAAACTACAGGCAGGCAAAGCTCATTGAAACAGAAGCTCAAACAAATACATTACGCCATTTTTTTCTACAAAAAGAATAGTCTAACGAAATCCATTCTATTAGGATCTGGTAGATCTGTTAGATAGAAATTAACTTTTCAACAGCTGCCTAACGTAAGTTTTCAAACTGTTTCAGAAGTAAAATTTAGAAAAAAAAGTATTCGATGTCCCAGCTTCTCATTATGCTAACTCGAAATCATCGACATTTTTTACTCACAATGATTTTGCCGTCCTTAATTATCCAAAAGTATAAGCTGATAGAGTACATTGTACAGACTTAAACGCACGAGGCTTCTTTCTATTGTTAAAACTGATATATCGACTAAACAAAATTAGATTCAACAGCCGCAATCCAATGTTATACACGCTTTAAGAAGCTGTTAACGGTCTCCTAAACATTTATTTCAAACTCTGCCTCTATAAGCTATTTGATTCGAATGCACCAGTGGATTATTGATGAGGGGTGGCACTTTGTAAAAACACATTACAACTAACTATTGAATATTTCTCCGAAGGCTTGACGAAAATACTTTCGCAGTGTTCCTTGTATTTCACTTTTTTTTACACGCAACTCCCACTGAAATTTTGAAACACAGTTTATTTTGAACAGAAAATGAACTGAATAAAATCAGTTAAATATGAATTTGGTGTTGAAATAAATGAAGACTCTCCTATATGCGGATATGGTTATTTTCTCAAGTAGTAATATGAACATTGTAAGACTTTTTGGTGTTCTTTCTATTGAACTTCATGTTTTGCTTTGTTTTCTATACTCTGCTCGTTAAAATACAATGTCTTGACAAATATCTTACTAATGCATTCCTTCTCCGTCACAGAACTTGTTGATATATGATGGAAGACCGTATATCAATAACATCTCGCTCTAATATATATAGACTATTTGCTTATTACATTTCTAGAAGATTAAGTATATGGATAATGAAGAAATGTATTCCAAAACAATGTATAGAAAAAAGTTCTCCGCAATTTTCCTATCGATAAATTTTTCCAGGCGAGTAAGTAATTTCAACAAATGAACAGTCCTTTTTTAGGAAATATTTAAAACTTGACTTATTATGCAAAAATAATGGTTCTAGTTTAAGAAATACGGAGCGTATCAATATGAGAATATCATTAAACGTTGTACAGAAACATTTTTTTATACATATAAAAATACAACAACAAAAAATGAAAATGCAAAGTGTGAACATTAGTGAACTCAACATGACAAACTTGAGGAGAGAAGTGCTCGTGAGCTTGTGATACTCGCTTTATTTATTTTCTTTCGCACAATATATTGTCCCGCTTACACACAGAACATACTGTTATACACAACACGAAAGAAACCTGCTTCATGTTCTGATTATTCAACATTGAACAATAGTTTTTTGAGAACAGAAAACACATATAATAAACATCCTTGATTGACTCTCTCTTACACCTTGAGCTAGGATTTTTAGTGTTACATAGTAAGTCCACTTTTAAATGCTCTTTAAAATGCCTATTTATTTGTTGAAATTGCTCAAGCACCTACAAAGATATGTTGATAGAAATATTGCGGAACATTTTTTTTCCATATCTTATTTCAAGACTCTCATCTTGTGGAAAAGAGATTATTATCTTTTTTCGGATCAATTGAAATTGAAGGTCGTGCTATATTTTATTAGTATGTCGATAGAGCAACAATTCCATTTCAATATAGGTCTCTTGATGTACTTTCAACCAGTAACTGGTTCCGGACATGACAAATAAGTTGGTGGGCGCCGTCTCGAATTGTTGATTAGAGTGTTTTTCGTATGAAAGAGTATTCGACATAATATTGACTCATTCAAACAAGAACTTTGCACAAGAAATTACGAAATCTGACTTTGCTTGTTGATCAATTTTTGAACGCTGAAAAATCATGTGTTGTCATCATTTTTTCAATGAAAATCGAATCGTTCACTATTTTCACTTATAACTTTGTACACATATGCTAGACATTTGAGACTAACAATTAATGACAACAGAAACAGTTTTGCTCCTTTGGTTGGTCAGATATGAATGAAACAAAAATTCAATATGCTTGCTGATCAATGTTGTTACCCGTGGTATATATGCCATAAGATAATAGCGGTTTTTATAGTCGAACTGAAAGATCTATGAAAGAAAGATATAGGAGAATTGAGATGACATAAAAGGTAGAAAAAGAAGAGTATTACTTTACGTTAAAACGTGTCTATTTGTCGAAACAAACATTGTATTGATAATGTCGATCAAAAGTTTATCCTTTCATCGAAATAACATGTTGGTATTATTCTTGCTTACGGTTATTGTTGACTTTTTTCTCATTCTAGGTAAGGCACAAATACGAAGAATAAAATATATTCTTTGCAGGGTGATAGATCTATGTAACTATTGTCAGTCGTTTTATCAAT